CTTGATGAAATGTAGAAGTCAACGCGTACGATCAATTTCTGAAAACAGATTAGCGATAGCCTTTCCGGATCAAGCACACTTAGCGATGGGAGTTCCCTCACCTATATCATGATTTGATACTCGACACATCCACACAAACTATGCAGGAGTCTCTCAGACGGCAGTGGTGCCCTCTGCCTTCAAGGCGCATGATTGGTCAATATTTAGTGGCGTGTGCTAAAGAAGAGGCTGGGCTTCATTGGGTATAGCGGAGCCCCATAATGGCCAGGGGGCACCATTGCCGCCTGAGTCCCAACTGAGATAAGGCCAGCCACTGTAAGAGCACTTGCCCACGAGAATTTGGTTGTAGGCCATCGCAGGTCAATTAATCAAGGCCTAAGCCAGACGCTGTTAGATTATCATCTAATTAGTTTACAACTAGAATCTGAGGTCCTGTGAATTTGCCGCTGAAAAGTGCGGTTTGTGACGCGGTTTTGTGTGGCATTTCCACACGACCGGCCATGAAAATCTTCCCTTCCCCCCCCAACACCCTGTAATGCCAAGCGCACGTGACTCCCTTAGTCACGGCCAATCCCGCAATTTGTTCCTTTCGACATTGTTATCACTACCTTCAGCTATCTCTCTGCTTAAGGCTTGCCCAGAAACTATGCGCCCAGTCCGAAAGATCCGCTGCAGTAAAGACGACGTCATCTTCTGGCAGTACAGGGGGTCGGAGAATGAGATCCTGAAATTCTAGAATCAGAGGCGATCCATTCACGGCATATGATGAGGCGCCTTGCTGGATGGTGATGGTTGGTTGAGCAGTAGGAGCTGATTGTCCAGTGGGATTTGGCGAAGCGGCCTGATTTTGGGTAATCGTAATCGTTTGCATATTTGTCGGAACTGGGGGGTTGGGATTTGGGTGTGCTCTGGTAACCGGATGTGCAGGAGCCGGAGAAAGGCACCACTTTTCAATATATAGCCTCTTCTGCGGTGGCATTATTGAGATGATGATAACAATCCTCACATCGCCTCTAGAGTTGCTTAGCCACCATTGTGCGTCAATTCTCAGACGATCAAGCCCTTCAGAAAGTCCAGACTCGATAACAATAGTTGGCCAATCATCTTTCCAGTCTCGGGAGGCTGGTTTATATGCTGAATCGCCCTCCTTCGAGGAGTTAGGACGATTGAATTTGGTTCCGCCAATAGGAATAAAGGTTCTTTTCCGTAGGCCCATTCTATTCAGCTCCAATATAAGGTCCTCGGCTAGTGAGAGGTGCGCAATTTCGTGTTCCGCCGAGGGCATTAGTTTAATAATCAATAGGTCGATATCCGTGTGATGAGTTATCCGAGTATGCTTCCCTATCATGGCGCGCTTATTGTCTATCTCCGCAAGATCATCTTTTGTGACACCCCGAAAAACAAGGTACTGCTGATTCGAGCGACCGGCCATTAACTGAGTAGACTGTGACTTGATACGCCACTGTAGATTTCGGAGTCCTTTGTATTGATAGATTAGGACGTCTTTTAGTCCATCCATGGACGAAGTCTCTGCCAGCGATGTCTCTTTCGATGATGCACCCGTACCGGAGGATGACCGTGACATGGGTGCAGATGCATATAGGCCATCAGTAGGTCCGGCAAATGTAGCCATGTTGAGGTTCAAGGGCCAGAGCAGGCCGGAACGAATAATGAAGGAGCAGTGAGAGATGATGAACGCTTAATTAGAGTAGCCCTTCAGTGGAGAGGTAATGTGTGGATGCGGACGAGGATTGGCTTCCTGAGAGAAATAGCTTTAATTAGCGTAAGTTTTCAAAGGTGTGAGTGAAGTTCGAGCTAAGGGGCTATGCTTGAAAGGGAATGCCCCGGAAACTAGGACTAAAAATGGCAAAGCACGCTGAATTAGAAACGGCGCGCTAAATCCAAAGAGGTAGTCCCAGGTTCTCAAATTACAATCACAAAGAAAATTTACTTGGGATATCCAGCTGGTTACCATGTCTTGGCATGAACATTCCTCCCAAGGCATGGTAAGCGAGGCTTAGCCTAGTTAAGGCGAGGTGGTGGGTGGGTCCAAGGGCACGGATACATGGCTTCAAACGTATTCGCACATCGAAACGGCAATGAAGTGCATCATTGAAAGATCCCATTAAAGGTGAATTTGTTAAAGCACATGATTGAAATTCTATTAAATCGGCCAGCTCAATGACGGTACCTCGATTTTGGCGTGGAATACAGTAGCAGAGCAGCTAAAAATTAGGCAGCAGTGCTACCCGTGACAGTGGACTATCACTAATTACGGTCTACTGCAATAACCCATCTAGCAAAGGCGTAAGAAACCGACCCTATTCCATCCTTTGGAAAGAGAAATCCAGCACACTTTTGATGCTCATCATCTTCACGCGCGTCCGATATCATTCCATCCTTCCGATCCAGAACACACATGCGACAGGCGGATCCATAGCGGTCCGCTCAACCCAGTAATTTGCCCAAGTGATGGCACAAAGCGAGCCAGTGGCAGAGTCAATGGGCATATCCAGACGCCCGCTCACCCCTGAATGGAGCATAGAACTCGATGATTCTTTCGTCGCGCGGGTGATCGATGGCGAACTGCGGATGCTCTCCATGGGGCCGCCCGTCCGGACGATCTGGTTCATTGTGTGGTGTACACCGGAGGAACCGCATACCGACACCCTCAACCGGATCATGGATAACGCGCACCCGTCGCCGAAAGAGCGGTTCATTGAAGTTGGTGCCGACGAGGACGAGGTGCGGTACGGCTCGTGGTACCCCTCCACAGTCAGCGGCCACCACCAGTGGGGCCTATACGGGTACACGATGCGCCACGGTTCCTACGTCCAAGCGGCCTTCCTAACCGATGAGGAGTCCGACCGTGACTGGGCGCTGGCTGCCTGGCGGTCTCTACGTTATGCGGGGCCGGTCGGAGGAAATCGGTCTGCTGGGGGTGGACTGGGATAGAAAGATTCTCGTAACCAGGTCGTGCGGAAATGCCGCCAAAAACGGCGTTACAAACCACCGAAAATGGAGGTCACACTGCCGTCAGATTGTTTAAAAGAGTATTATCTAGAATTATTATGTAGAATGCCTTCTGAGATCTAAGATCCTCGAATGAGCGGTGAAGCTGAGGGCATCTCAGGAGATGCCTGGACTCAAATGATAAATATATCTCCACCCAACCTCCACAATTACAGGGAGATGCCGCAGAGGTGCGATGGCTGTTCCGTGTTCGCAGCACAGCATTGGATCGGAACAATTCATCTTCATGCAATTTGATATCTAGCAATTCCGGGTGCCTACCCTTTTCCGCACTCTTTCCCAGTATTTCCCACTATATACATACAATACGACTCTAGTTAGAGCGTGGGATATCCGATTCTGAAACAGTATAAAGTAATCAAAACGCCGTCGCTGTGCTTGCTTGAACCCAACCTGTTCATGACATTCGTTCCTTCCTTTTTCCAAGCATTCCTAGCCTGGAATATGTGCAAATCGGAGGTGCATTTCACACAATGCGTCTGTCATGAGGACGTCAACGAACCATGAGACATGCGTCTCGACCGCTCCAATGCGGCCTCCATACCGTATACGACTCATCCGCGCAGGCGGAAGAGCCGTTATATCCAAAAGGGCATGTCCAAGAAGAAGAAGAGACATGATTAACAACAATCCAACCACAACCCAGGACTCCGCGCGACGGCCATGTTAAGCCGAGACTTCACTTTCTGTTGTGTCTCTTCTTGCTGAAATGCCCAACCGATCCGAGAGGAGGTAGATGCTAAACCCGACGGCGGCTATCACGATGAAAAGGACGAGAACGATGATAAATATGACAATGTTCTGCTTCATGGCTGCGAGAGGGTCCGGAGAAGGACCTGGCTGACTTGTGGGGGAATCGCGGAGTGGGATGTGTTGGATACGAGATCTTTGGCGAGAAATATCGGTCGTATATCGGTCGTTAAATGGGTATTAGATGTTCAGGAGGCAACCGGTGTGTTGGAGTGGAGGTCAAGAAGCCTGACATGCAGTTAGTTCCTGCATCCTTGTGGAACCAGATAAGAGTTTAACTCACCAAGAGGAAATATAGCTTCGGATATCAGCCTTGAGGAACAGTACGGATATTCTGTTCGGAATTTGGGACCGCTGTGAGGGAATATGGGGAATATGGACAATACGACCGGAGGTGGTCGTTTCTGTGCGGTGACTGTGCTGCGAGGTTGGCAGGAGAGGATTGGATGGCTCAAACGCTGTGTCAAACAATAACTGTACAGAGTGGTGGTATGGTATGCGAGTGAAATATACAAAAGTCACAGCAGCAGCAACCTGCCGCCCGCGGGGAGGACTGAACAGTTAAAGGCTGAAAGTAGGAGGCAGATTAACAGTGAGGTTGGGCAAACAGATCAACATTTGGCTGGGCGACGTGTGGGGCGGGGGCTGGGGCCAGGGGTTGGGGGCCCAGCCACCAGATGTGTGGCTGGTGATGCGGGGTGCCATGTCACGTGCATATTGCTGACAGGGCCCCTCAGGCAAATGAGGCAATTAATTCAATATTGTTTGTTTACATAATCGTCACGATTAAATCGATCAAAAACCAGACATCCCTCCCTTTATTATCGTGAACCAAATAACTATAGAAAGTTACAAATAGGAAGTAAGTCTTTCTTCAGTTCGTATTCTCTTATGCTCTACTATATACTCTATAGCTTGGCCTCTACTCTCGGCCCTTCACCTTCGACTTCAGCAGCCAGCGTCCCTTCCGCTACTTCTTCGCCGTCCTCCGCTTCAGTTACCCAAGTGATTCGCCCTGTCCGATGTGCTCTCACCTCCAACTCCATCTTCATCTGCTGCACGACGCAGACGACATCGCCTTCCTTCACAATGTCTCCTTCGTCCACAAGCACCTCCACAAGCTTGCCCGGGAACGGGATGATGATGTGGGCCGGATTCTTGGGATTCCCCTTGCGCTGCGTGCTGGTCGTGGACCCGGCACTGGCCGTGGTGCTTTGAAGAGCCAGCTTATATGGCGTTGGCTTCGTCGCGCCGCTGGGTGTGTACATGATCTCTGCCGTCATTGCCGTCGGGAATTCATTTCGCAACACCTTGATGAGCTGGAGATGATTCGTCACGCTTGCGTTCGGATCATCGCGAGGGGCCAGGGTGAGGGACCAAGCATCGCCTTTGCGGAAGAGAACGCTCGTTTGGCCAAAAGATGCGCCCTGGGAGGATGAGTCGGCCAGAACTTGAAAGGTGCGAGGTGCGCGTGCGGTGATCGACTCTCCAGTCTGTAGAAGTTCCACCTGCGTGGCCTCCAGCCATCGAGTATCACACTTCCCAGCTAGGAAACTAGGGTGGGAGACGATACCCTTGAGTACATCAAGATTGGTTTTCACTCCTTCGATCCTCGTGTCGACGAGCGCCCTCTTGGCCTTGGCCACCACATCTTCCCATGACAGAGCTGTCACAATGATCTTCGCCAGCAGACTATCGAAATCGGTGCTGACCATTGCTGAATGGCCAGAAATCAGGTTGGTGTCGACTCGAATGCCATTTCCACTGGGGAAGTGGAACGACGAGATCTTCCCTATGCTGAGGGACCAATCGTTTTGAACGTTCTCCGCCGTGATGCGGAGCTGCACTGACCGAAGGGCAGGAGGTTCAGCCGGATTCTGCGTGGTTTGTGACATGAGCTCGGAAATTCTCGCTCCATGAGCCAACCGCAGCTGCAGCTTGACAATGTCATGGCTTGTGATCGACTCGGTTATGGTGTGTTCAACCTGCAACCTCGGATTGACTTCGAGGAAAAAGAACTCCTTCGTTTGAGGGTTCGCGAGGAATTCGAACGTCCCCAGTGACCGGTAGTTGATCTGAATCAACTAGTCAGCATTCAAGTGACCTACGAGGTATGTTTTCAAACTTACGCTTCTCGCCATGCTCACAGCAGACTCGATAACTCTCGCAACGAGTGCCCGGTCTGTTATCGAACTAGGCGCAATCTCCACTACCTTCTGATACCTCCTTTGTATGCTGCATTCCCGCTCCCAGAGATGTCGTACGTCCCCATTGCCATCGCCAACGATCTGAATCTCGATATGTCGGTATCCGTCAACTGCAGCTCGCTCAGCAAAGACTTGCTTCGAAGGGCTCTCTTCAATGGCTCGTCTAGCGGAACTCTCCAGCTCTTCTTCCGACCGAATCAGACGAATCCCTCGTCCACCGCCACCGTCCACGGCCTTGACCATGATGGGATAGCCACATTGGCTTGCGAATTTCTGGAGAACTTGTATGGAGTTTGTTGGGGTGGTCAATGCCGGTAGAGTTGGCACGTTGCCTATTTAAAATCAGCAATCGGATAGCAAAAGACATGGACAAGTCTCGCACATGCTGCTGCCAATTTCTTCGCTTCAAGCTTGTCGCCGGTGCGAAGCAAAATCTGGGCACCTGGCCCGATAACAAAAGCTCCTGTTTCCTGCTCGACTCGCCGTGCAAATTCCGCCGACTCCGACAAGAACCCGTATCCCGGGTGCACGGCTTCGATTCCATGGCTTTTGACAATTCCAATAATTTCCGCGATGTCCAGGTAGGATGCGGGAGAAGCGAGCTTTAAGGCATGGTCGGCCCCAACAGTGTGGGAGTTGTCCTCGCCGGAATATATCGCGAACGTTTCAAGTTCCAGTTCCCGTGCGCTGGATATGATTCTCGTAGCAATCTCGCCTCTAGGATATATCTCAGTCTCGTTTCATTTGTTTCATTCATGAGATGAGTCGACAGACCTGTTGGCAACAAGGAGGTTCTTAAATGGCCTCGAACTCATCTTCAAGGATTCGATATACGCGGGTTTACTTCTGGTTTTGGTAGAGGCACGTTACTTGGTGTCAGATATCACGTCTTAGCTTACCAGTCAACAGCTGTTAAAGGGAACTGTTCACTAAAATGGACGATATCCGAACTATGTATATCTTTAAGTATATTTGTAAACGCCGAATATCCTATGCTACTCTCCGAGCAAAACAATCCATGGTGGCTTGGTCCGGTTGAAAACGTGGGGTCATCGTGGGGCAGGAAGGGGCACCGAGGCATTGACGATTGATCTCCATAATACCCCAGCTTTACTCCCCGAGGTCCCCATACGTAGGTGACGGACAGTCGCCGCTAATACACAGCGAAATGTAAATGTTGTGATGGTGCTGTTCCTTGCAGCAGGTTTAGTATCTGAACGACTCTTGGGTTATCCGGGTTGCAATTGAAGATGGGTGCAGACGACAACTCCTCCAACGCGACAGCGCGTCTGTCGCAACTTTCTTCGCATATCTCTCCAAAGAACGCGGACGAGAGAGGTGCTGAACAACAGACGAAGACACGATCTCGACGAAAGAAGAATGTCGACAATACCCTCCCTCCCGACTACTCGGACATCCTGGGCCAGATCACCTCGCTCCAGAAGATGGCCCTCACGCCTGATCCCACGAATCGAGGGTACAGCCGACAAAAGCAAGCGGGCAAGCTCTGGGTGCGTGAGCGGGTGGAGCAATTGCTCGACGAAGGGTCATTCCGAGAGGTCGGGAGCGTGAGTGGGACGGTGGAGTGGAAGAAAATCGCCGCGGCGCGAGAGAAGCCGGTGTCATATGTCCCTTCGAACAACGTGCAAGGGTTTGGGAAGTTGAGAGGTCGGACGATCGTGTTCACTGCGGATGATTTCTCGATAAGAGCCGGGCATGCAGATGGAGCGTTGATGGATAAGACCGTGAGTATGATCCAACATTGACCGTCATATGGCCGCTGACAGTCAATAGTTGTACATGGAGAAGCTGGCCGTCGCCTTAAGACTGCCGATGGTCAAGCTTGTGGATGGATCGTCTGGTGGTGGATCCGTCACCACGATTCGCACGAACGGGTTCTCATATATTCCCCCGATGTCCGCCTTCCCCCCAGTAATCGAGCAATTGAACATGGGCATACCCAATCTGGGCGCCGTCCTAGGTCCTGCGATCGGTCTAGGCGCGGCTCGCGTCGTCGCATGCCACTTCTCCGTCATGGCGGCAGATATCGGCAGTTTATTCAACGCTGGGCCGAATGTCGTTGCGGGTAATTCCCCCGGTGCGTGAGTTTGCGATCACGATAGCTAACGAATCCAGGCGCCACATTCGAGGAAGGTCTCAGCTTCACGGAGTTGGGCGGCCCCGCGATGCACTGCACTAACGGGACCATCGACAACCTCGCTGCGAACGAAGCGGAATGTTTTGAGCAGATTCGAACCGTTCTGGAATACCTTCCAAACTCCGGCTTCAGCGCACCGCCATCGGTGCCCGTGGAGGACCCGGTAAATCGAAGCTGCCCAGACCTCCGGACCATCATCCCGAGAAAGCGGGAGCGAATGTATAATGCTCGAAAGATCATTACGTCTGTGGTCGATCAAGGCTCCTGGTTCGAGATTGGTTCTTTGTGGGGAACGACCGCGATATGCGGCTTAGCCAGGTTGGGAGGCTATCCGGTTGGGATCATCTCACTGAATTGCGAAGGTGAGTGTCGACGGCCGGCAAGGGGTTTTCATTTTGCTGATCAGTCACAGTGAACGCCGGCGCGCTGGATGCACTTGGCTCCCAGAAGCTCAATCGACACCTGAAGTTCCTTGATATTTTCAATATTCCTCTACTTCAGTTCGTGGACGTCCCGGGGTATGCGATCGGGACATCCGCCGAACGCACCGCGACCATGAGACACGGCGTAAACCTGGCCGTAACTTACTACTCCACGACGATCCCGATCTTCAACGTCGTGACGCGAAGAGCGTATGGCGTCGCGGGCGGGATCATGCTCGACTCCCGCGACCCTCGGCAAAGAGTCTGCTGGCCCAGCGGTGAATGGGGTAGCCTTCCGCTGCAGGGCGGCATCGACGTCGGCCATTCATTTGAGCTGAAGGAGATCGAGCGGAAGGAGGGCCTGGCGAAACGAAAGGAGCGGTACGATGAGCTGGACGAGGAATATCGGCGGCTGATGAATCCGGTGCGGACGGCGAACCATTTCGGGGCGGAGGAGATTATCGACCCGGCCGATACGCGCTATGTAGTGTGTACGTGGGCAAAGCACTACTACGATGAATTGCTCCCGATTCGTCTTATGGAACGGACTGGGGGGAAGATTCATCCTTCATTTGCATGAGCCGTCGGAATACTGTGATTAGATGATACCATGCCACCAATCGTATTCTGCAAGACTCATATTTGAATTTCATAAGCGTCGTCGTATTTATCGTTGGTTGTGTTGCCAGTATATTGCTGCTCAAAACCAGTCCCACCAGTTTCGTATGGCCTCTCAAAATCTGTAATTGTCCCACTCTGCATGCTTGAAACCATCAGGGATCCTTCAGAGCTGCTTTTCTTCACGACCATCCATATTTGCGGGAGATGGGGACGATGGAAAAGGTGGACTTTCTGCAGCGCTAGACTCATGCAGCCGCGTTCTTCCATTCGTACTCCTAAGCCACGGGCGGGCTTTATTCGGGGCTACGCCTGGAATTTGGCTGCTTCTCTTGGGAATGCTCTGCCTCAATGCAGATGGACTAGAGGGGGCAGGCCGATCTGGAGTGGAGGTTCTTTGCCAATATGAAGATACGAGTTCCCCCTCCTCCTTTGGAGTGGCATTTCGACTTTCCCAGTTAGCCGACCCAACTGACTGCTCGCGATCATCCAGCTCTCTCTGAGCGATGTCGTCCTCCGTCCGCCATTTGACTGGGCTTTCATCATAAGGGTCGAAGCCAACGCGACGTCTTGCCTCTGCACGGACACGTTGGCGATAAGCCGAGTCGTTCCCTGCGCCTACAGTGCTACTCTCACTGAGGAAGAAATTCAACAGTTCGTCGGTGATGGAGAGATGCGAAGTCTGTTGAAACTGCTGCAACGATGTGAGACGGATTAACAGCTCAAGAAGAGAAAGCGACGTGCGCAATGGGGGGAGGGATGGTGCACGAGCGAGAGTCTCGGGTGTAAGGGGAGCTGGTGTCATCGGAGTAGGGCTTCGTTGCCATCGCTCCATCTGACCTGAACCTGGTGTGGAATTCTCTAGGTGCAGATGAGAAAGAGCAGATGCCAGGGAGGGGTCTAATGACTGAGAACGAGATGTTGACCGAGTCCCGGGCTTGCGCCGCGTTTTAGCATTTTCGGTCAGTGGGGGGGATGACGGTATTGGGCTAGTTGAGGTGGCATCCTCGTTCGAGGGCTCTTCGTCGTCATCAGACCCAGAACTCTCGACAAACACCTCAAAAGCCATCCATTCTGGGTCAAGATTTGGGGGTAGGGACCATGGATCACCACTTCGGGGCAATTGTTGATGCCTCTCCTGGTCGTATTGATCAGACGTGCCCTCTAGATTTTGCGACTCGGGCTCGTAATCCTCCTCTTCAGACGAATAGGATTCCTGGGTGAGATTCAGGGGTAAGGCCAGTTCTTCCCCACCCTCTCCAGATGTCTGCCTATCCACCATACGTCGAGGCAATGCCGCATTAACATCCCGCTTTAGTAGCAGAACGGGGTTGTTGGCTTCTCCTTGTGAGCCGATATTCAGAATCTTGCCAGTGTCAGCGTAGAAAATCTTCGAGATCTCATGAATTGGCAGGAGGGTTCGAATGCCTGCCATAGCGACATCGCCAAATGGACCAGGTTGCGGCTGATCGTCTTCAAAGGTGTGAACTCGGTCATCGTCAAGGTCCTCGACTATTAGAAGCTGGTATGCGAACTCATGTGCTTGTTGTTCCGCAGGGATGGTATCTACACTCCTGTACGGGTGGCCGGTCGCTAATTCCGAGGACAGAACGCCGATATCACGGAGCGGAACCCGAAGCAGCCTCACCTTGGCTTTGTGTATGACTTCTTTCCACGTGGTTTCGCGAATGTTCTCCCTGTCCTGGGGTCGATTGGCATGGCCCGAGAAAAGCATGTACATGGAAAGGTGAAATGACGGTCCCACTTGGATCGCGTGTCCTGGAGTTATTGAATATTGAGTGTCTGCTGCCGTTAGGAAGGTGCTGGCTTGGAGTAACCGAGACGCTGAGACTGTGCGAGGCAAATCTGTTGAGAGGCTAGCGCCTGAGGTTGTGATAGCCAAGTTGATTAAGGGGACAGCATCCTCAATACGAGCCAACAGTCTCTTCATGTCATTGATGACCATTTTAATCTCCAGCTCGGCCTGCGTACGAGCGGAACTTCTCAACTTGCCGTCGCTCACGGCCTCCCCGTCGCTTGCAGCTTTCGAAAGTCTGATGCCCAGTGACTGAATGTCAAAACGCAATGATTTGGTCAATGAAACTGCGGATTCCAGTGACGTGTTTCCTCTTGCTGCGCTTGGTGTAGTTTTAGCATTGCTTAACAAATCCGAGGGTTTGCGGTCACATACATCAACTCAATCATGTCGATAGCGGGTGACAGGATCCGGATTTTGCTCTCCAAGCGGAGTTGGAGATCAGTGATTTCATCCTTGGTCGATCCTTCAACTGTCTTCAAAAGGCGAGAACATTGTTTGATTGCAAACCCGCTCGTGATGGTTATACCAGAGCTTCAACGGAGTCAGCCTGGGGTCCTCAAAGTGCTGACCTGAGTGAAGGCCGTCTCAAAAGCTTACCGAATGGCATAGTTCATCGCCTGCTGAGTGATCTGTAAGGGTCAGCACATGATTATCTTCGTACGTACACATGTTAGATGGGGGCCATTTTCAACAGCGGCTAGACAGTGAAGTAGAACCATCCATCGAACTGGGCGTCAGGGGTTGAAAGTGACTTTCTGGACAGAGGAGCACTCTGGGACTGCTCACCTTTGAAAGGAAGACTTCCATGATGTCACCAATCTCCGCATAGCGTAATAGGCTCGTCTAGTCTATGAGAAAATCGAGCGACAGGTACACATGAGGCCCGACAAGGGAATTATTCTATGGGTTTCAGGAGCCAGTGGAGAGAAGTGCTATGGTTTCGTGGAGTTGATATCATCAGTTTGTTGGATAGCAAACGCGAATCGCGTCTCGTCCCGCGAGTCATGACACATGCAAGTCGTCTTATTCAGGCAATAAGAATACAAGGCATCAAGGGCACTCATAGCACGTGACCAGATCCAATTAGTCATAATTATTGTCGCCTTACTGCCCTACTGCCTTAATGCCTTATACCCTCTTCCCTAGTTCTGCCTAACGTCTGCCCCACCAAATCGCAACGATGTAGAAAAGCCGTCGCAGAAGGCGATGGTCTCTCATTGAATTTTCCCCTGGCCGACGAAGAATCCATCGAGTCACTCCTGGCTATCTCTTCGTCCTTTCACCACCTCCGCTACCTGTCTTCGAATCCCCTTACGACCGAACCGACCATGGCGGACCTTAATTCTTGGGAAGACGATAAAGACGCCCAGGATGATGCCAACCTTGCTCAGAGGACAGCGCAACAGCTCCAGATGAACGCTGGTCCTGGAGGGGCATATACGCCGAATGTTGGTGCAAATTCCTTTCAGCCAGGCGCCTCGTCTTTCCAGCCCCAAAATTATGGCCAATATGGTGGATACGCTGGTGGGCAATATCAGCAATCCTACGATCAAACCGGATATAGTGGGCAACAGCAACAATATGGACAATACCAACAGTACAATCAACAAGGCTATGGCGGCTATGGTGGGCAACCCCAAGCTGGGGTTTACGGCAACTACCAGGCGCCACCACCGCAGCAGGTCTCACAGCAAAGACAGACTCCGGTCATTGCAAAGAGACCAGCTGGCGAATCCGATCCCTCTGCCGCACCGAAATCACAAGAGAAACCTGCCTCGGGTGCACCCCCTAAGGCCAAGGTGTTGTCTGTGACTGGAGACACTTCCGCCCCTCCTAAAGCTAAGGTTCTCTCTATTACCGGTGATACCAAGACTCCAAAGGTTGAAAAGGCTGGACAAACGAAAGTTTTGACTTTGGGAACCACTGTCCCGCCAGCGTCTCAGTCATCGGCGAAGGAGAATGTCGACAAATCCGAACCTGCAGCCGGATCCAAAGTCACGGCGGCGAAGGCTCTGGAGAAGGCCGGCGAGGGTTCCTCCTCATCGCCAACTGCTGGCTCCGGGAAGTCTTCTCCCACGGGACGAAGCAGCCCAGGACGCAGCAGTCCTCAACGAGCAGAGGCCCGTCAAGCGGCTCGGGTAGCCGATGCAGTCCAGAAAGAGCAGGAGGACTTGATCGACGAAAATACCCTCAAAGAAATCTACGGAAAGGAGCACGTCAACGTGATTTTCCTGGGTCATGTCGATGCGGGGAAGAGCACTTTGGGCGGAAGCATCCTTGTCGCGACGGGAATGGTTGATGAGCGAACCCTGGACAAGTACCGAAGAGAGGCGAAAGAAGCAGGCCGAGAAACCTGGTACCTTTCGTGGGCCTTGGATCTGACCAAAGAGGAGCGCTTGAAGGGCAAAACGGTCGAGGTTGGGCGAGGGTTCTTCGAAACCGACAGGCGGCGCTATAGTATCCTCGATGCTCCTGGCCACAAAACCTTTGTTCCCAACATGATCGGAGGTGCTAGTCAGGCTGATGTAGGCGTACTGGTCATTTCGGCACGAAAGGGCGAATACGAGACCGGCTTTGAAAAGGGTGGGCAAACAAGAGAGCATGCCATGCTTGCGAAAACGCAGGGTGTCAACAAGCTCATCGTGGTTGTGAACAAGATGGACGATATTACCGTGGAGTGGAGTGAGGAAAGATATAAAAACATCCAATCGAAGCTCACGCCTTTCTTGAAAGGCGTCGGATACAATCCAAAAGGTGAGGATCGAACCGGCAATTATGTGAAACGTACTGACAGACGCAGATCTTATCTTCATGCCGGTCTCCGCACAAACAGGGTTGGGAGTGAAGCAACGCGTTACCAATGACAAATGCTCATGGTACGATGGGCCTTCATTGCTTGAAACGCTGGACAACATGAAAACCCTGGAACGCAAGCTCAACGCCCCATTCATGATGCCCATCGCCGCCAAGTATAAGGACATGGGCACCATGATTGAAGGCAAGATTGAGTCGGGAGTCATCAACAAATCCGGGAATTACCTGATGATGCCGAATCGAGAGAGTATCTCGATTTCCGCACTCTACGGTGAGACCGAAGAGGAGATTCCGCGATCCGCCTGCGGTGACCAGGTCCGGCTCCGGATTCGCGGCGCTGAAGAGGAAGACATCCTGCCCGGATTTGTCCTGTGCTCTCCGAAGCGACCGGTCCATTGCGTCAACGCGTTCGAGGCGCAGATCGTCCTGCTGGATCTGAAGTCGATCTTGTCCGCCGGGTACAACTGCGTCATGCACGTGCACGCGGCGACGGAAGAGGTCACGTTCACCGCCCTCCTGCACAAATTGGAGAAAGGCACGGGACGCAAGAGCCGAAAGGCGCCCGGGTTCGCCACGAAGGGAATGAGCATCATCGCCCGATTGCAGATCACCGGCGCATCGGGCAATGTGTGCGTGGAGCGATTCGAGGATTATCCTCAGCTTGGACGGTTCACATTGAGGGATCAGGTTCGTGATTCGTGTTCTTCGTATCGGGTGTTTACTGACAATATCCAGGGACAAACCATCGCCATCGGGAAGATCACCAAGCTTATTACTGATGAGACCCCTGCGTAAATGACCGCTCATGTCCATGCATCAGAACCCCTCAATCCTTGAGATCAGGGGGACCTAAAACTCCTGGATAGGCGTTTGATCGAGGAATACACACCTCAAGAAAATGATAAGATGTTACAATTGATCCGATCCCTACATGTGATGCTAGTAGACATTTTAGAGAGATCGATGCAGCTAAGCAACCGCAAGTTATCTATTTGATATTGCAGATAGAAGACCGTCTGATGAGTATGTCTATGCACTTGCCCGTATCGAGAAATGTAGCTGTCCCTTTTCTCGTCAATGAGGCTTTTCCTGCCCAAGTGGCCACCAGGGCTAGAGGAGGCGTGGCAAGAAATGATCAACAGCAAAAGTACCTCGAACGCCGCGAGCTCTTCCGTCCGTCTCTGCTTGTTAACTCTCGTTGCCGGGATTTATACATGCAAAACCCACCAGGAGGGACCATTACCTGCACAGCCGCACCGGCCGCTTTCTTCTCAACTGTTAGGGACGCCTTTCCCTTTGGATATAACGGTTCAAACGTTACTCCCGGCGGCTTGCTACCTCCATTGACACGAACCCAGGCCGACTGCTCTGAGTCTCCGTCCGTGTTGATCGCACAGAGGATCTCCACATCGTCGAAAATCCGCGACCACGCTACGACCGATCGCATGGGGCCACGGGGGTATTTGACCGGGTAGCCGAACGCAGCCCCGTCTCTCGAGATCTTACGCAGATACTGCCGCCCCCGTCTCAACGCCAGCTCCGTTTTCCGAATCTCAGCAATTTCCGCGATCGCCCGATACACCGCGAACTCCTCGTTGAAGAAGTGCCGATCCCTCGACCGGAACGCGCCGAAACCGCCGCCGAACATGGCCTCGCGAATATAGCGGTCGTCGCTGCCGGTCCCGTCGAAGCACTGCTCGCTACCGTAGTAGATGCAGGGAATGCCCACAGTGCACAGGTTCATGGCTTCGGCGGCGAGGATGGTCTTCTTGCCGTCGCCGCAACAGTAGCGGGATTTTTGGGACGGGTTCCAGACTTGGTCGTGGTCGTCCACCATGCAGACGATCGTGTCGCGGAACCAGGCGTGCGCGCCTCGATTCATATAGGCGGAGTTGGTGAACATGCCGAAGTACCCTTTAGGGGATACCAATCCCCGTGGTAGCTTCCAGAGCTGCTCTTGGATACCGCCGACGCCTAACGCTGCGTCGATGCCGGTAGTTTCAACGGTCTCAAATACCCGGTCTCCGAGGATTTCACCTATCAGGATAAAGTTGTCTTTGCCTAGACTTTGTGCGAACTCGTGGATTCGAGTGGCGAAGTACCGTGTTGGTCCATCGCCCATATGCTTGACGGTATCAATTCGGAATCCGTCCACATCCGCATATGCCATCCAGAACTGGTACACTTCGACCAATGCCAGCAACGCCGGCGTGGGAGCGAATCCTTCCAGTTGGTGTTGTCCAAGGTTGATGTCCTTTAAATCGAAGAAATCGCCATCGACACATTGTGGATATTCATCCCAACCATCCGAGCGAATGGAGCCCTTTCTCGTGAAGCAGTTCTTCGATTGCAGCTCGGATGGCCACACCGCACCGTCGGGATACGCTGACAGATGTGCAGCAACGGCATCCGGATCCATGTCGATGTTCGGGACTCTCTGAGCGTCGAAGAACCCTTCCACAGGGAACTCTTCCCCGGTGTATTCTTTCGCGCCACCTTGATATTCCCACACATTCCCCGCGTGATTCAAGATGATGTCTAACAGCACATATATTCCCATCTCATGCGCTTCCCGGACCAGCTCCCGCAGATCTTCACGAGTGCCGAATCGAGGGTCGATGTTGAGAAAGTCTTGCACGCCATATCCGTGATACGTCTCTAAACCGGCAACCTGCTTGAAAATGGGTCCGACCCAAATGGCCCCGATCCCTAACCGTTTCAAGTAGCCGAGTTTGGTTCTCATACCGGTGATAGTGCCGCCAGCGAAGCGAACACCGGCCTCCTGCCACAGTGCCTCGTCTTGGGGGTTTCGGACCGCATTCCCGGCATCCGAAGGTTGAAACAGAGGAGTTTGACTGGTGGATTCAAATTGGCTAGATGAGGAGTGATATCCTCGCTCATTGCCATCGGAGAATCGATCTGGGAGAAGGAAATAAAGAACCTGGTCCTCCCAGTTGGACGGCGAAGGATGGTATATTCTATCGTTGCGTCGGCTTGAAAGAAAGGCTTGGATTCTTGGGTCTGATAATGATCGAATAGAATCCATTCGTCCTTATTCAACAATAACAATCGTTCCGCCAGGTAGGAAAGTCGAACGAAACGCGGTTGTAAGGACGGTTAGAAACGGAGATCAAATCGCACATGCATGCCACTGAGCGATATGGGCCGGTCGAGAATATTAAAAATTGACGATGAATGAGAACGTGGAAAGAGACAAGACATTTTTATTAAAAGGACGATGGTTTATTTGTTTTCTTTCATTGTTAACTAATGATAATAGGACATGTTAGCTGAGACATGACAGAGGGTGATCACTTGGCCCTCTCCGGTCAGCTCTCAGCTGGCGTTCGTTAGCCCGTGTCTGAGCTTCATCCCAAGAAACGAACGTTTAAAAATTGTATTTAATTTACCACTGGGCACGAGAACGCATCTTCGGCACCTTGAAGACCAGTTCGGCTCATGCCATCTGTCAGGTTCCTCGAAAGTCTGAAGCACGAGGACATCGAGCATCATGCGTGATGCTTGGGAATTCTGATACTCGGATGTCAAAGGACCTGGTGCTGCAACCATGATCTCCGCCATGGATCTGGGCACAGGGAGCCCGACTTACCGTCCCTCCGCAAAAGTTTCCGTTAAACTGGCATTTCGACCGCCAAGGTTGTAGAGATAGAGGGTTTGTTATTTGTAAAACCATCAGTCTTGGAGAGAAAGGCCGGTTTAACGGAGATTTTTGCGGAGGATTCTAAAGGCAATCATGCTTACAACTTCACAGGTGCGTACCTAATCCATATTATGTTATGTTCGATGAATTCCTCCAGAGTCCAGACATGGAGCTTCGAAAGGTCAGGATATGTCACCCTGATGAGAACAATCAACCCGATCTAGACTCGTTGCAGCGGACGGAATAATTAGGGCGTCCCTTGCTGTGGATGCTCCAAACCCCCATCCAAGGTCAAGGCATTTGGCAATCAGCTCTTTGATGATATTATTAAACACCCTCTGTGGCTGCATCACGACCACCATGATTCGTCGAACGCTCCGGTCCACAGAGGAGACCTCGTATTTCAAGGCTCAGCCCGGTCCAAACTTCGCATTCGGTCATAGCTTTTCGTATTTCATACTTCCAAGTCGTTCATTCTGCATATCATGGACAGAGTTTTGTATTGAGAACTTGAACGGGACATTCAACCCCTCATTTGACATAATTATGCCAGTCCGAAAAAGCAGAACCGGAATGGCCCCAGCGGACTAACGCATGAAAATGTCAACCAAAGCCCATCTCTAATACGAGTTCTCGAAGGAAATGCAAGATGGGAAGTATCCAGTTCCCTGACGCCCAACCGCCGTACGGTTTTGATGGCGACCCCGACATTTATGGTCTCGGGATCCGCGTCGGCTACTACACCCAGATCCTCTCCGTCTGGGTCGCCAACTACTGGGTGCCGCAAGAGGCCTCGTTCCTCCACTCGATCAACGTGATGTTCCTCGCCGCGATGCTGCTCGCGGTGGGTTTCCTGGCCAGCCGCATCCCCGATGTCTTCGCGGTGGAGGTGTTCCTGCTGATCAACATTAGCTTTTCCATGGCAATTTTCGGGACGGATGCGCGGTTCGTGCGGGGGGCGCTGCCGTGGGAAACGCGGGTGACGCATAAGGTCGTCGCGCAGTTGGTTGGTCTCGGACTTGGAGGCTACAATTTGTGGTTTTGGAATGTCGGCCTGCATCGGATGAAAGCGACGAATTCTATCTACGGGACCCAAGTGTTTTGGTACGCACAGGGCGACCTGTTCGGGGCGATCAAGATCGCGAACCAAGTCGTGGGCCCGCTCTACGCGCTTCTGACAATCTCTATCCTTATGATCACCGTCGTCAGCGGGTATCACAACTTCAGGCTCGACCGTTGTTGCACGGAAGAAGCGTTTACCGCGCTAGAAGAGAAGATGCTTGCTGAGCTATCAAACTACGGCGATTTCGTGGACGTGTCGATGAAGAGGAAAAAGCACGCACCTTCGATCCGCTCCTGTCTAAACTCTATCAAACACAGTTCGTCTGCCTGGGATGCCAAGGAACCAGAAGGGAACAAAGCCCAGTTCAGACACAGAGGGTCCCATTTGGAAGTCCATGGCGCATGCTGCCAGGGATCCACTCACTCAAAGGGGCTTTCCCGCGTGTCAATTGAAATCTCTAAGCCCGTTGATGGCATAAATCCTGACGAGATGGTATCAAAGCACCTTGCTGTCGACGCGAGCAAACCCGCGTCGTCCCTTTCCACGCCGAATCACAAATGTAAGCTCGACCATTCCAGGAAAGAATCATCGCACGTCTCAACGCAGTCTCCCACATCCGCCGTTCCAACGATTTACAGTCCTCAGGGGCTTTCCGCGCAAAGTCTGGCCGTCAACCAGCCGCCCCCTCATCCCGATGGAATCCCAACACTCCATGACATCCTCATCACAGATGTCTATCTCAGCGAGCAATTAGGTCCAGACAGACCGCTCCCACCGATGCTATACCGCGCCTTCCTCTCGCCCGCCTACTTCTTCTACCTCATCTTCCTCCTCCTCCTCCACCCAACCCACCTCCCCACCTTCCTCCACCTCCTCCTCTACCTCTACAACACGTCTCCCCCCACCCCCACCCTCCACAGGCAACAAATACTCATCCACCACCTTCTCACCCCCCTCCGCCTCCTTCCCCCCTCATCTGCCCTCCAATTCGCCACCCGCCTCCGCATGTCCGCCCAGCCGCCCCCACCACCTTGCCCTGCCGACTGGATCTACGACGCCGCCTCCACCATAGCCGTCTGCATCGTGCTGACCATCGGCACCGAGTTGACGCTGCAGTGGAATGAAATCCGGGGTGTGCATTCGATGGGGTCGGCGGGGCAGCTGGTGCCGTTTGTGTTGGGGGTAGGGGGGTTGGTAAAGGTGGTGTGGGCAGCGGTGACGAGGGGAAGGGGGCCGGGGGGGAGAAGGGGTGACGGGGGGTGTGAGTGGACCTGTGCGGAGGAGGGGAGGAGGGAGAGGTGGGTGGGTTGCGCGGAAGTGTATTTTCGGTGGAGGGCGGCAGTGGAGAATGGGAGACAGGGAGGGGCGGCGATGGAGAAGGTGGGGGATCCAGCTGCTGTTTGAGATGACTGAGTACAGTTGCAGCGGAAGGGTGTCCGACTGCCGCTTGGGGTAATGTTCAAATAATGAATGGGTCCAAGCGTTGAAGTGCCGAATGCACGATTATCAGGGCCACACTCCAAAAACTGGTTTAGTAGCCCTTTTTCACCACCTACAGCTTTCGGGCACTGGACGATCTGACTACGACTCTCACTTTCGGCCTAAAGTCAGGAATATGGATGAAAGAGATCGCATTTCAATTGCCTAAGAACAACTACATGCCAATAACGGGCGTACGATACCTGGGAGAACGACGACTATCGCGGTCTGGGTGGTCTCGCCTGGTCTCGCCTGGTCATATGGAGGATCAGCAGATCAGTCGACATACGCTAAGATGGCGGAGTTGCGATGCCTGCTGGGTGTGTAGGTTGTATCACTTGTGTGAGAACGCACTTGGGCATTGGGCCGTTGTAAAGCGCGGATAGGATATCCCTCTTTCGTCAACAATAATATGGGGTTCAAACAGGTACGGCTCCTTGGGCGGCGATAAATATGCGTAGACGTACGACGACGGGGTATTCCAGCACAATGATAATTCTGAAACGGCGCCCGACGACCGACGACCAGGAGAGTATTGAACGTAGCATGGCAAAGTATGATAAATTTAGCAATTTGTGGTACGCTCGCTGTATTCGGAATGAATGCTCACCTCCAGTCCACGACTGACAAGCCATCCCTCGTCAATTTCATCGGACGAAAATAAGCCCGTTTTTCGTGATTATGCCATGCCATGCCATGCCATGTGTGCCGTGTTAGACGATTCTGAAATATCCCAGCTATTAGCCTCTTCTCTTTGATGAGAATGAAAGAGACGAAGGGAGGTATGGAGATTCGCCCTGAAACTCGGTACGGCCAACTCGATACTCGGACTGCCATTAATAGACGGAACCGCCGTGTTGATGTGACGGGTTTAGTATTCGTCTTCGCCGTATTCGTGGATATGCCGACTCCTCGACGGATCCTTCCGCATCGCCTGTCCCGAGCCTGTGAATCCAACTATGCGGTCGTCAGCATCTCGTCCCCCGAAGTCAAAAGAACCACCACCACCTACCTCTCGCATTAACCCCCTCCCCCGTCCGAAACATACTCTCCTTCCTCTTCCCCTTCCCAAACTTCCCCTTCGCATTGAAATCCTGCCACTTCGACTTCGACGCCTCCAGCTCCTTCCGCGCCTTTACCTTCCTCGGCACCTTCGCCACCTTCTCCACCTCCTCCCCCCGTCCCCCCTCCCGCCTCGCCTCCTTCGCCAACTCCGGATCAATCGCCGCCGCCGCTGAGATGACGTTCGCGTTGTCCGCTGGTAGCGCCGCCTCCTCCGCCTTGCGCTTCCGTCCGGCGTGGGCCGTCGGTAGGGGTTTTAGCTCGTGTGCGCGCGCCGTTTCAGTGTTGTTGTAGGATTTGAAGACGACGGTGTACACGGGAGCGGCGGCGGAGCCGGTGATGGAGGTGATGCGCGCGGGGTAGAATTTGCGGTCGCCGGAGGTCCATTGGGCGAGGACGGGGTCGTTGACGGCGTAGGTGATGGCGGGAGAGGGCTGGTCGGTGGGGTGGGGGGTGTCTGGTTTTCGGTGGCTGACATCAGGGCCGGGGTCGCGGGTCCATTTGTCTTTGGAGGAGGGGGGTTTGGCGGGTTCGGAGGCGGCGGTGGCTTTTAGTTCGGCGACTTCGTCGCGTTGGAGGGCGAGGATTTGGTTGAGTTCGTCTTTTAGGGTATTGAGTTCGGCGCTTTCGGAGTCGCCTTGTAAGGCGGAGAGGACGGTTTCGAGCTGGGGTTTCAGAGGTCAGCGAGGGAGAGGGTGGATGGAGGGGGACCTACCTGTTCTTCATATTCTTTGATTTCGGCTTCACGGGTGGCGATTTGGGAAGCCATGTTTGTCGATAGGTTGATGGGGGTAGCTGAGGGGTGATTTCGTGCTTGAAGGGATTTGGATTGAACAGGGGGCAATGCGAAAGGGATTCACGGGTGGATGGTTGAGGTAAGATATCAGATGGACATGGAAGGACGAGTTGACGTCGTGAGTTTGGGATGGGGAGAATCAGGTGTTGCTGCCTTACAGTGCATTACAGCGCCTTGCAGCCTAACACGGTGTTTCCTCGGGGTACGAAATTGAGTTACGTTCCTTGGCATTCCTCCAACCATCAGCACCATCAGCGCCATTGCAGGCAGGCCCAATTCGCTCGAAAACAGCATAATATCAGAGTATACTCTTTTCATAATTAGGCGTGTTCGAGTCAAGGTTGTGGGAGCTGTACTTGGGGGGAATGCCAAGAAACGTAATTAACCCAATTTCGTCCCCCCCTCCTGAGATTTCATTTCAGTGTCAACACGAAGACATGACAGAATATTCCCACCACAAGCAATGGAATCGGAGATCGTTCATACACTCACACGTCACAGTTGCTACTCGTATGTATGATAAGAGGAATACAATACACCTGAAATCGTTTAAACCAGATGGATTCTGTACTCTCGCAAACTCCACTTACCTCAATACCTAAAGATCATGTCCCAACTGCTCACCATGGGCAGCGTCTTTGTTGTAGGGTCCTCTGTACTCCAGAGTCTAATCTGGTGGAGATGTCCAATCCAGGCAAATCGAAATATATATCAACTGGGAGGAAGATCAAGATACCACCGCTCGATGGAAAAGCCGGGTTCTGTCAAAGCTCATGGTCCGGGCTCTGGATAACTCTATACCACTCTACTGTCGTCTGTCGTCGCTCCGTGGGGGCTGAAAATGGTCCGCCTTGATCGCTAGCATTGCCCACTGTTGACTCTTTCACAGACGAAGGCGATCCCATTGCCTACGTTTTGTTGCGCATTGTCAACCCAAAAGACCGGTCGCGAAGCGTGGAATGAACGCAGAATGGAGTGTCGCTATGGAAGTGTAGGGTCGTTTGCCGCAAACTCGTGCGATAGGTCGGACGCGTTATCGCCGATATGGTCCGCGGAAGGGTCCAACGCCTTATATCCGGCGAAGGACGCAACATCTCTCATGAAACCTCTTCCTCACGGTTTTCAGCCGCTTTGAAACACCTGCAGATCTGAAGGTGAGAATAATGTTAATTCAAATGGTATGCAAAATCATAATCGAGTGGCAAAGAGGGTGAGATGAATATTAAGAAACCAAGAGTTCTCATCATGAGCGCAGCGAGTTACTTAATACGTAGTAGTAGTTAGTACATTGACTCCCGGACTTAACTTAAAACCGGCTCACAGGGCTGCACCAAGGCCGACCAAGACAGGCAAGAATAGCATGTCTCCCCACCGTTTTTCGCCACGGTGAGTCAAAACGACAACCTAAGGCTTTAAGCCTCACAGGGCGTGACATTGTGATTAGTTAGGCCCATCCGGCCATGGCATCGGCGTAACATGGGAGGGGTAGGATCCAATATAAAGAGAGCCAGAACATTCACGGGGGGACGATCGTCCGGCGGCGGCAGGCGCAACTCTCGCTGCTTCGACGAGAATTCGCTCATTTGCCAAACGGCTTATAAATCCCACCCCCTGGCCTCCAACCAATCATTACCCTAGAAAACACCTCTAGGACTCGGCACGTGCGGCATTCGCGGCCTTTGCGGCCTTTGCGCCTGAACTGGCCCTCCCATCCATCCATCCCACCACACCACCGCATCTCCATCTCCTCCAGTCCGTCCTCCTCACTCCTCCCTCATCGTCTCTCACCGAATCCCCCCAATCCGGAAGAAGAGTCTACGAGTTTCCATAGCTTTTCCTCATAAGCCCTAGTTTATGCACGACGGTCATCCACCTTCCTCAATTCTCCCACGATCCTTCATTTCTGCTGGAAGGACACCTTCCCAGCCCTGATCCACTCATTTTCTTCCCCCAAGTGCCAACCCAGCCCCCCTCTCGTCCATCGTCATCCGAATTTCAGTGATTTCACCCATCGCAATTCAGTCAAGTTGTTCATCCTCGACGCTGTCGTCTATCGCGATCTTCACTTTTCGGACGAGGTATGTAATTATCTAGATCTTCTTAGCTTCTCAATTTCGCCGCTGGTGTCCAGTCTCCTACAGATTCCCCGCTTTTGAACAGATAACGATCATTGCACCAGCCATCCCGATCTCTAATTCTCAACAATCCCACCGCTCCGCCTGTATCAATTCTCTTAAGCTTTCCGTCCAACCTCGTCTTGAATTTGCTTCCTGTGTCATAATTTTGCTTTGCTCCAGCAAAGTCATAAAAAGGCGTGTCGCCATCGGGACCAATACCCCTCCCATATTCGCCACCTGGAATCGGCGTCATCGGTCGACACCACTAACCCTACAATAGAACATAAAACACCAGCCCTACCGTTAGTGGTGAAGTTCATCATCGAACCCAACGATCGATATCCACCGTCAACCGGTGAGCAACATCGTTAGACCTGACCAAGAAACATCCGTCATGGCCCGTAACGCCAACGACCGTACCTCATTCCAACCTCCAATGTACCTCTCACCGAACCAGCAAGATGCATTTCTTGCCTCCCTCGCCTCAAACCAGAAGAGTGCGGGACTTGGCCTTCAGAACCAGAATCAGCGCCTGGACCCCATGCAATTCAATTTCGATGGAGGGTTCGATCAACCACTCTTTCCGACCGATGCCTTGGACCAGACTACTTCATTTGGAGGAGATCAAGTAAACGACTTCGATGCCTTCGAGGATAGCCCGTATCTCGACGTTATCGATGGAACAGAGGGAAGCTACGATTTCGATATCCCCGAAGGGGGTCCGGCAATGTTCGGCGCCCTCCCGGGAGATGACTCTCCAACTACGGGACTGTCTAATTCGGAAAGTCCTCAACCGGAGGGCCACTACTCGGATAAGAGGAAGAATAGCGAGGACGCGGAAGAACCTGACGAAGCGAAGCGACGAGAAAGCGACGACAAGGTATCCAAGAAACCGGGAAGGAAGCCGCTGACTACAGAACCCACAACGGTATGTAGAGCGTTCAACCAGCTCGAATGCGTACTGATGATTGGAATAGAAGCGCAAAGCCCAGAATCGAGCCGCGCAACGAGCGTTCCGTGAACGGAAGGAAAAGCATCTTCGAGACCTGGAAACCAAGGTGAACGAGCTAGAGCAGGTGTCCGAATCCACCAACCACGAGAACGGTTTGCTCCGTGCCCAAGTTACCCGCTTACAGACTGAGTTGCGAGAATACCGAAAGCGGCTCTCTCTCAATGCCAGCGGGCTGGGTGCATCGCCTCCGCTCCGTGGTGGACTAACCGCCTTGTCTACTAGCAATGGTGCGTCATCCGACAACACCTTCAGCTTCGACTTCCCCAGGTTCGGTGCCTTGCCGGCCGGTCCGCAGCTCTTCCTCAAAGACAATGAAAAAGCGAGATCGACGTCATCTTCCTTGAATGGACGTCGCGTTTCGGATCATGCATCGGGCGCGCCGTCGCGGTCCGGCAGTACTGGAAGTATGAGCCCCGAGAGCCAAACATCTCCGGCTCAAAATAGCACAAGCACCAAGGGGACGAGCCGAACCAGCGCCGATAGCGTTGCCGATCCATCCCGCGTCTTCCAATTCAACAGCTCGGGATCCAACTCGGCGTCCCCTTCTTCTTCTTCACTCTCTCAATTCGGCCCCAACTCCTCCTGCGGCACCTCCCCGGAACCAAGCCACAACTCCCCGGAAAAGAACTTAGACAAGGTCAACGGCCAAGGGTACATCTGCCACGGCGGCTCCGAAGGTGAGGTCACCTTCTGCGAGCAACTCAACATGGCCTGCGGCAACCCACGCAACCCTGTTCCCCGATCGATGTCCCAATCTAACGCGTCCGCAAAACCCACAGACCTCTCACCCAACCCCACCTCCTCCGCCCGCACCACCCACGTCAACGTCAACGGCATCGACTGGCTCGCCGACCAGAACGGCGGCCAATTCGACCCCCTCCTCTTTGGCGAGTACCGCGAGAGCCAGGCCGCCGTCGTCGGCGACGGTGACTTCACCGGCGGCTTCTTCAACGATGCCTTCCCCATCGATCTCAGCAGTCCTTTCGGCACCACCGGCATCACCCCCGGCCTCCAGTCCGCCACCAAACGCAACCCCATGGAGGAAATCGACGCCCTCAACAACGCCGACGACGACGACGAGGTCGTCCCCGGCGAGGACAGGAGCAAGATGCTCAGCTGCCACTCCATCTGGTGCGTCCCCTCCCATCTCCCCCCTCTCCTCATCATTCATACTAACCCACCTCCCAGGGACAAATTGCAAGACCGCCCCGACTTCAAGGAGGGCAGCTTCGACATCGACGGGCTGTGCACAGAGCTCCGCGCCAAGGCGCGCTGTTCGGAGAGCGGGGTCGTGGTCGATCAGAAGGATGTGGATGCGGCGTTGCAGCGGTTTCCAGCAAAGAGTCCGGAGCCGTGATGTGTTGGCTAGCGGGATGATATTTTCGAAAAGTAATTTGGCGACGTCGTGATCATGAGATATCTTCACTTATCCAGGACAGGCTATAATGGAGGAGGCGCTAGGACCGGCGTTGAGGGACATCTGATTGACACCCACGGATTTTTATGTACACGTAAACGCACCGGGTGCAAGATAACACATATATGAGGGATCGAGAATTCATATGATTGGATGATAGGATTGGATGGATTTGGAGTAGATGCTGGCGTTGATAGAATGGCAGATCTCCCCTCTGTTTTTTATTGGGCTCCCATCGTCCTGGGAACGCCATGGAGAATTCCAGACTACGATCATCCACTCGCCTCGTCCTAGTCCTAGACGCCGCCATTAGACATTGAAAACCACGAAATCACACTGTTGCTGTTAGGAGGCCGCTCTCTCTGTGCGCATGAACCATAGATCAACATATTACAGCCGCGTCGTAGATGCGTTGTAAATACTCAACCCGCCCAGTTCTCAAACCGCACCATTCCCTTCCCCCTCCCCGCTCCCCCGATCCAAATACCGCAAATACCCAAACACCACCACCTCCTTCGCATCCCAACCACCCCCCAACTGCCCTTCCGCCGCCACCGCCGCCGCCCGCGCCGCCTCCACACCCCCACCCTCACCACTAAACACCCGATGCTTCCGCCGACACAGCTCGCGCGTCGCGGTGTTCCAGTCGTTCCCGTCGGCGCGCACGGGGATGGCGCCGCTGTCGAAGAGGGCGAGAAGGTCGGCGAGGAGGGCGGTCGCGTCAGTGGCGGTGGCGGAGACGGAGCAGAGTTCGTCGATGGTGAGTGCGGCGTGGGCGATGCAGTGGTGGTGGAGGGGGGAAGATGGGGTTGGTACGGACGGATCGGACGGGGTGAGGATTTCGACGATGCGGCGGGCGGAGGCGAGGAGGGGGGGGGGGGGGGGGGGGGGGGGGGGGGGGGGTGGGGCGCGGGGGCGAAGCGGAGGAGGAGGAGTTGGAGGTGGTGATAGAGGAGTTCGAGGTGGGGGATGGTGGGGAGGAGGTCGGCAGCGAGGTCGCGGAAGAGGGAGAGGGTGGCGTTGGTGAAGCCGGTGAGGATGAGGGTGGCGGGGCTGGAGGGGTCAAGGTGCGCGAGGAGGGGGTCGCGGGGGAGGAGGCTGCATGCTTTGACTGTTTTGACGAGGTCGCCGAGGATGAGCGCTGATCCTAATGTCGGGTTAATACAGTTCGCCGGTATAATCATGATGGGACGTACTTTTCAGGAAGTGGAGCTCTGGGCCCAAGATGGCTGCATCCTCGTGCATAGTAGACATCCCATAGTCCGGTAGAAGAGCCGACTGGCAGAGCGAGATCGCATGCCATTGATCGAGAACGTAGATGGTGTAAAAAATGCGTCGAGCCAGCCGTTCGTCCGTATCCTGCGACAAATCCCCATCGAGAATCGTAGCCCTCCCACGCGGCTCTTCAAGACGCAAGTGCTTCGACTGCCCAATCGCCCTCGCGAGCCACTCGCTGCGCGACGTCACGGTATGTTTATCATGCAGCGTCTGGTTCTCCGACGCGAGGTGCATCAGCACCAGCGCCTGCACGTAGACCAAACTGTTGTGGAACGCGGCGTTGATCGGGTCCTCGTAGTGCCAGAACTGGAGGAGCTTGCTGACGGTTTGGAATTGCTCGCGGAACTCGGCGTCTTGCGGGAGTTTCGAGCCGGGGCACGAGCGGATGAAGCATTCAAGGGCGAGGGTGAATGCGCGGCGGAGGGTTGGGCGGCAGAGGGTTAGGCGTTGGCGAAGTTGGACGATGGATTTCGGGAGGAAGGGAAGCTGCTGGTGCATGCGCTCATAGTAGCTGTAGGGTGTTAGCACTATAGCACGAGTCTCCATGATCAACTTACTCGGAAACAATGGTGTAGTTCCATTCCGGCAGTCCCAAATCCTGAGTAAGGTCCATATTGAACCAATCATCGTCATCATCTTGCTGCGGTTGGGCGTCCCGCGCCCCATCCTGGGGACCTGCCGATGGCAATCGGAAGCCATCTTGCTGAGCCAAAGCAAGGTCATGGATCCCTTGGGAAGCCGAGTACGTGCGCTTGCGAGGGTTCGTCGGGGTCGATTCCGTCCCGCTTTCTCCATTGAAGTTTGCCAAGTTCTGGACGTACGAGAAGTCGGTATCGTGTGCGTTCGGTTGGCTGTTGAAAGGATTCAAGGATTGCTCAAGGCTTTGTACTCGGTCGGCGAGTTCTTTGATATATCTAATGATTTGTTAGATAGTGCTAACAACTCATGCTCCGGGAACTTACCCTTTGCTTGGTCCCCGTTTGAGTTGCTGTCTTGTAAACTGGCATCGAATCCCAGCTTTCTTGCAGTTCCTACACGCGTCCTGCTGATCCGGCGCAAGATCGCATTTGATCTAAATGATATCCATCAGCATCAACATCTCCTACCACATCATCACTCTTACCTTCTTCTGCCGACACCCATCACAGGCCCTCGACGCCTTCTGCCGCTTCCCCGGCCCCGACCCGATATCCGATACATCCGCCAACGAGTAATGATGCTGATGCTGATACGGCGGCAGCGGCTCTGTAAGTACATCGCTCTGATTCGGCGGCTGCGTTGGCGTTTGCACGCGCGGGACGTGGTGCGCCTGGTCTTCCTGGTTCCGGGCGATCAGCGGCGCGGTCGCGCGCTGCAGTTCGGCGGAGAGTTCCATGTCGGCGCGGATCTCATTCGCGGCGGCAGAGGCGCCATTGTGGCTGTAGAACGGCGCGGCGCCGGTGGTGACTTGGGCGGCGTCGGGGGATGGGTAGGATTGAGGGTTGGACATGGTCGTGAATTCTGGGTTAACTGCGCTTATTCCAGAACGCGCATGTTACCGCGCAGCTGTCTGGAGATTGAGCTCTTGGGTTAACGAGGGAGAGAGTACGGAATAGATATTAGTAAGGAAACCGCAAGCGTTCCTCGTCGAAGAGGTGGAGGATTGTGGCGAGCGTGGTAGGTATGATGTGTATGATTGAGCTGATCGCACAGTAGAAGTAGACGTCAATACCGAAAACAGAAGAGAACAGTAGAACCGTGCGCATATGTTTCACTGTCCACTGGATTTACGTGTAAATAGAAGCGATGGTAGGGAATGCGCTAGCAACAGAAGACTCGATAAGGAAGAGCAAGAAGTGAAGAAGTTGCGCGACGGTGGGATTCGCTGAGGTCCCCTCACTCGTCTATAGATCACCCACCTCATGACCGTGACCGAATTACGCGGCCCGCACATTTTCATTCCCAATGGCCGAATTTGCTTCAATCCGGGATTGGAGATCGTCTGGGACGACGGAGAGGAAGTCTTTCCAGTTTACGGGTCACAGGCCATTGATTTCTTGAGATGTCGTTGTTTTCGGAGGAGTCGCGCCGAAGGCTCCGAAGTCTGGAAGAAAGGTAAATGCGAGATGCGAAGAGAGTGAGACGCCCCTTCAGAAAATCTCTCTGGTTGTTGTAGTATGCATGTGGTTCATGAGATCTCGCTTTCATTCTATATTAATCCATAAATGATTTGTCTAAAGTCCTCCGCGGATGTAGAATTTAGTGGTTCTATGACTCGATGTCTTTGAACTATGCCAATATGCAATATATCGCCGCGAAGTCGGCAAAAGATGTGGTAAACAGTCCTATACCTCGTTGTACAATCATGTCTAATAAAGTAACTATTAGGCGTCTCTAAGACATCTATATGTGATGATTTAACCTCATCGATGAATGGAAACACGTCCGGAGAGGTACCTGCCTCGAATGACATGAGCGAATAGCAAAAATCCATCAAAAAATATATCAAAAGCAGTGTCCGGGATTAATGTAGCTGACCTCTGTGTTCTTCTACGGAACCTATGCTATGCTACAGAGAAAATTTTGATCCCTGAAAGACAAGATGGGCCAGTACGAGTCTCTTGATGATGTGTAATTCAAGAGCTCAAACTGAATGTTGGATTGGGGCTGCTCTGCTCCAATGTGTGACTATACAGCCACATCCGAGTGAGGAGCTTGCAGAACGTTATGAAATCAAACAGGTGTTGGGAATAGATGAACTCCCAGGCATTCCGCCCCAAATAGGAGGTGAGGATCGCGAGGAAATGTGCGCTGGACTAGTCCCACTCATCTCCTCCAGACGCAGCAAGCACGCCTCCTCCAGACGCAGCAAGCACGCCGCCTCCAGACGCAGCACCAAAGTCATCTCCAGATATGGCAGCTGCACCAGCTCCAAACGCAGCACCTGTACCACTGGTCATGTCGAAGCCATTACCCGTCACCTCTGGAGCAGGTTGAGGGCAACGCCGATCGGTATGGCCGAACTCCTGGCAGCGACGGCACTGAACCTTGGACCAGTCGGTCGGCTTAGGGCATTGCCTCGAGTAGTGCCCAACTAACAGCAAGTCAGACATCAATCACAAAGGTTTGTCCAGCGGCGTCACTTACGTTCGTCACAGTTGCGACACTTCACGCGCTCCATGTTGACGGACTCGGGGCATTCCTTCGCCATATGGTCCTCGGAGCTAGTGCGGTCAGCATCAATTCGATGAAGGAGAAGGACGATACTCACTCGCAGTTGCGGCAACCCTTGGGGCCGCCTCCGCTAGGGCAGTCCTTGGCGAAATGCCCCATCGTGTTGCAGCGGCGGCACTCGACGTTTGCGGCAGAGCGTTCTTCGGTGCAGTCGGCGGCACGGTGACCTTCCTTATTGCAATTGCGGCAGACGTTTGGGTTGACGCGCGGCTTCTTGCAGTCTGGAGCCGACTGGTAAGAGTTTGCTTCAGAATGGTGGAAGCCGGAACAAACCTCGTGCACGGTGACCCTCCTCCTCGCAGATATAGCAAAATACCTTGGCCTGCTGGTGTTCGGGCTCCTCCCGCTCCTTCTTGCAGTACTTCGCCGGGTGGCCGAGTTCTTCTGCGGGTTAGCCGTTGGCTCCTCGGGGAGAGAGCGATGCCATACCTCCGCAATTGTGGCACTTGGTCACGCCGCGATCGACCACAAATCCGGAGTTCGGGAGCCGCTCGAGGTTCTCCTCGGGGGTCTTTGGCCAGACCTTCTTCGACTTCGGTCGGACGCAGTCGGCGCTGCGCTGGAACGTGAGGAGGTATTTGAGGTTGGAGCGACCGTCGGGACCGACGATGATGTTGGTGTCGCGAGTATTGAGCGTCCACATTCCCTTAGTAATGAGGAATGGTGGAATAGTGGATAGAACTCACGAGCGCGATCATGTAGATCTTTTTGTCCTTATTGCGAAGCTCCTTCTCGAACTCAACAAGGTCGAAGGGTTTACCCTCCTTCTTGAGAGCCACGGCGTACGACTTGAAGTACTAGATGCCAGTTAGTGCTAGGGGTCGTTAACGAAAGCGCCCACACTTGCCATCGAGAAGTCAGTGATGTCCGGGATATCCGCAGCCGTCATCATAAGCTCCCAAGCTTCAGAGCAGGTCTTCTCCGGTGCGTCATAGTCCAGGGGCCTATCCGCGGTGCAGTTGGTAGCCATATGCTCGCCCTTGCAGATGCGGCATTCTATCGGAGGCTTATCCGGGCAGTCCCTGGCCATATGGCCTTCCTGCTTGCAGCTAGATAACGATAATTCAGCGTAAACTTTCAACTTTGGTTGGAGTTGGACAGGACTAACACATGGCATTCCATGGGAGGCTTGGTAGGACATTCCTTAGCAATATGACCTTCCTCCTTGCAGCTAGGTAGTAAGTTATGTCAGTATAACCGTTCAATCTATTAAGATTTAGAGTAGCGCTCACAAGTGGCAAGACATGGCAGGCTTGTCGGGACAGTCGCGAGCGAAGTGGCCGGGTGCATGGCAGCTAGAAGATGTCAGTGATCAACGATGCTCTCAATTGATAACCGCCCAGTCATCACTCACTAGCGACAGCCCTCATCACCACCTTGGTCTCCGCCAGCACCACCGGCGAATCCGAAATCTACACCACCGCCAGTCATCCCGAAACCGCTACCTATAGTGTGTGAGTGAGTGAGTTCAAGAGTGATGGTGATAGGAGTGAGTGGGCGTCATCGGATGAAACGAACCATCCAAACCGCCGGTGGTGGGCTTGAAGCCACCGGCATTGCCATTGCCATTCCAGTTTTCTGCAGCGTCGCTAAGTTAGTAAACGTGCTGAAGTGAGGTGATGAGTTATGATATGAAGGTGTGTCGCCACAACGACAGGGATAACTCACCGGTACCGAATTCCATGCTGACTGAAGCGTGTCACGAAACTATTGTAGTAGAAAGCCGGAGGATGACGATGATATTTGGCTGCGCGGAACAATGCAAGTTTGCGAGGATCATTGGCAAACGAAGGGAAGAAGGATCGGATGGAGGGTGAGAGAGTGGAAGAAGTGGGAAGTTCATTTGTTGTTCTTTAAACTGAGGCGCGACTGGTATAGGAGAAGTGATAAACCACTAGGGAAAATAAGTGAATTCACTTCACATGCACAATCGTGGTGAGCTACATGAAAGAAACAAGGGCGTGAAGATGTGGAACGTCATAGAACGTGAAGTCAACACAAACGCCTTACCCCTAATAAGGCTATAGCATAGAAGCAAACCACTGGATCTAGGCAGGGAAGGTGATATTGCCGCTGCTCTGCTAAGTGAGAGAAAGACAACATCGTAACTGCGGATACAACATGAAGCATAAGCACTCAGTCATTGTATAGAGGATTATATGGCCTTTCCCCCCAAACACGCCAGAAACGGAAACTCTCCCGTCCCCGCACCCTCGTCTATTGGCTTCTTCAGCGTATGCGGCCGCTCCACCCGGACGTTCGAGAACCCCGCCGCCCGCATCAGTTCCTCAATCTCCTCTTTCACAATCCCATGCCGCTCCACCCCTTCCATCTTCGACTCCGGATGGAACTTGCGGGCCGCGGGTCCGAAATTCTCGAAGTCTAGGAAGATCGCCACGCCGCCGGGGGCGAGCACGCCGAACATCGTTTTCAAAAACGGCTGGAGTTCGGGGATGTGGTGAAGGAGGAGGTTCGAGATCAGCAGATCGAACCGCTTAGGCGCGCCGCCGTTTGAGTCGTCCTGGAGGGCGGGATCGTCTGGGTCGGTGATCAACGCGCAGACCGGTCGGATATTGCTCGACGCTTCCGGATTGGCGACGGACAGTTTCAGCTTCAGCGCTTCCACCATGCCGTGTGATAGGTCCACGGCGACCAGAGATTCCACATGGCGGGAAAAGGGGAGGGATAGCAGGCCGGTCCCGCACCCGAATTCGATGGCGGAGAGCTCTGACGATGGTCAGCGAGCTGGCGGTCAAGGGAAAGCACCAATGTAAAATCTACAGGCTCAGAAATCAAGGAGCGGGAGGGCATAAAGGCATCGTGGAAGTAGCGTGGTTGAACGATAAGCAGAACCAAACGCCCACCCGCCGAACAGGAACATCCGCAAGAAGTCAAGAAGCAACGTCGCTCACCTCGTCGATCGTCCTGTAACTGCGGACAATATTTTAAAATGGCCTCCAGCGCACGCTCGCTGGCCTCTTTGACCGTGGGATTCGTATCCCACTCCGCCGCCTCCTTATCAAACCGACTTTCGGCCATCACAGCATATATTGTCCGATTGCGGGGATGCGGGAAGCGTGGGGACGAGGCCTGCGCGTCGATGTTCGTTACCGTGTCGTCGGCGCCGGTGAAGGTCGATGCCGATGAAGATCGATGGAGCCTGAGGTTGATGGAGAACTGGTGAGGAATGCAGGATTTTGTGATATTACCGGCAATTACCGACCTACCGGGTGGAATGTCGTTCGGTCGTTCACGAATCCGCCCATCACATCGTCATCGCGAAGCTAAGGACTAAGTTTACGCGGCTAAAAATCTTCCGGGTGGCGGTCCAAAGGTGAAACTAGACAGCACAGCCTGGTGCGACTCGAAGTCGAGAACTCTCAACTAAAGAATCAGGAATTCGGAGTCGAGATGCAGGGACATCGATGCACCACAGGTGTGGCTGGTACAACTGTCAAGAAATCTGGCAGCGCAACCATGAACCATGATTTATTGTCCATCGACCAACCCCTCTGTGGACCATTCCGGAGAATTGATGCGTGAATCGGTCCGGCTCACTGGGCGGGAGTTAGCCAAGCTTCAAGTTCTAAGTTCCAAGGTATCCGATGCGCCGGCCAAGGGGCCAAGGGGGCCAAATAAGTTCCTTGGATAAAAAAGGCGGGGATACTTCGTAGGGCAGGACTATGCGTAGATCAGTCGAGTTTGACTGAGCCTCCAGCTGACGACGTTTCTCTGACATGAGGGGTTGAAGACAAAGCTCCTGCATTCTAGGTCGACCATGTGGCTAATAGGATCGTACTGCAGCTACTATTATTGAGGGGCACGATAGTCACGACTCGCAAGGTAAGGCTCATTTACGCGGTACTCATGGTATACAAGATCTTGCTCCGCCTCGACGCGATGATGATGATTTAGAGGAGAAGAAGGGCGGACAGGATGCTGAGCCATCATTAGCGGACGGCATTCAGGTTCAGGACGCCTCTTTATGCATCCCCCTGGTATCTCGTAGTGCAGTACAGGTGTGTGTCAACAGGTCCGAAACTCCAGCTGCCTCCTTGACTCGAAGTAGCCGCCTTCAGCCACGTCTCCTTCCAGCCTCTGAGGCTTGGGTTGTTGTCCATGCTGACTGTTGACCGGCCTGATATTCCATAAACACTTGTTGACCACTCCCAACTCCCATCGAGACGCAGCTTGCTTCAACACCCTCTTTTTGATCCGTGGCCTGTTTATTCGTCGTCCTTCAAGAGTAGAGAGTGATCCATTACTGGATCAGGTATACGCGGCGCCTAAACGTGAAACAACCCGACGTAATCACTAGGACTCTACAGTCTACTCCTGTCGGAAGCCAAACCGGTTCGAGTTCGCATAGAGAGCACATGAGATATCGTCACGTTCAACCTTGCTCAACGTCATGTCCTATAACCGCCTCGGTGAGTAACGCTGTCATTTCTATTCCTCCTCTCGGTCCCATGGTTCGGGGAATTCGATGCTCCAGTTTGTTAGAAGTTGGACCCTCGACCCATTTGTTTGTCTGTGGATCCTTCAAAGTTCAAACCTTTAAACATTAGTGCCTTACCGTCGCCCTTACATACAATATCCGCCCCCCCCGCATTCCTCCCCTAATCTACGCCAAGGGATGCGCAATTTCCTTTGGCTCCTCATACATTTTCATACACTCGTTTCATCGTTCGACGTTTCTGATTATTTCCGCTAACATCTTTCGCTGTCGCTCAAGGCTCTGTTGGCGGCCACACTGACGACGATTACGACGACCGATACCACGCCTCCCAGGAACAGGTCCCGATGAACAACCTCCCACAGAATCGAATCGCCTCACCTGGGCACCCGAATCAGGGTTACCAGCTGGAAGAACGCTATGGCTCGCCGTTAGAAATACCTGTCGGTCCTGGTCCCGGTCCAGGCACGCCATCGGATCGATTACAAGGGCAGCCGACCGTAAGTCGACGCGACGCGATCATGGTTCAAAGCGCATAGCTGACGTGTCTTTATCAGTATTCGGTCGAGGGAATGCACAATTCATTCGGCCATAACGAACAATACGACACCACCTATCCCCCTCAACACCAGCCCCGTCCAGGCGACTATGCCCTCAACCCCGACGACCACCATGACGCATACTTCTCGCAACCGTACAACCCTTCGCCGCAAGAGGGCCGGCCGCAAGAGGGCCGGCCGCTCAATCAATATTCCTCTCAGGAAGGAGGATGGCACGACTATGATGACGATAGGCCAATTCTCCAACCCGACAATGTCTACGGTCCGGATCCCCACAGCCCTGCCAGTCCACATGCGCAGGATCCCTTCCAAGGTGCATATACGGACGCGGCTCCTCAACCGACCCCGAGCCCTGCGCCGGTGCCGATTCGGAGATGGAAGACCGTCAAAGAGGTGCAATTGTTCCAGGGCAACCTCGTCCTCGATTGTCCCATCCCTCCCCGACTCCTGAATCAAGTCCCGCATGCGCAAGCTCCGGAACGCGATGAATTCACCCACATGCGCTACTCCGCCGCGACGTGCGACCCGTCGAACTTTTTCGAGGAGCGCTTCACGCTGCGCCAGCGGCTGTTCGCCAAACCGCGTCATACGGAGCTGTTCATCGTCATCACCATGTACAACGAGGAGGACGAGCTGTTCGCGCGGACGATGATCGGCGTGATCAAGAACATCGAGTACATGAATTCGCGCACAAGCAGTAAGACGTGGGGAAAGGATGCCTGGAAGAAGATCGTCGTGTGTGTGGTCAGTGACGGTCGTGCGAAGATCAATCCGCGAACGAGAGCCGTCCTAGCTGCCATGGGGGTTTACCAGGACGGCATCGCGAAGCAGCAGGTCAATGGGAAGGACGTGACGGCGCATATCTACGAGGTACGTCAACCCTATCCAAAATCATTCGACGCATATTGACACAGCACAGTATACGTCGCAGATGGCGCTCGAGATCAAGCGTGGCGTGGTCCAGGTGAAACGAGGAAGCACCCCGATTCAGATGCTCTTCTGTCTTAAAGAGAAGAACCAAAAGAAGATCAATTCGCATCGATGGTTCTTCCAGGCGTTCGGTACCGTGCTCGACCCGAACATTTGCGTGTTGATCGACGCCGGCACGCGTCCCGGGAAGGATTCCATTTACCATCTGTGGAAGGCCTTCGACCTGGAGCCGATGTGCGCCGGGGCGTGCGGTGAGATTAAGGCCATGTTGAATAAAGGCAGGAACCTTATCAATCCCCTGGTCGCGACGCAGAATTTCGAGTACAAGATGAGCAATATCCTCGATAAGCCGTTCGAATCCGCCTTTGGCTTCATCTCCGTGTTGCCCGGCGCCTTCTCCGCCTACCGATGGATGGCGTTGCAGAACGACAAGACCGGACAGGGACCGCTCGAGAAGTACTTCCTTGGGGAGAAGCTCCACGGCGCCAACGCCGGCGTTTTCCAGGCGAACATGTACCTGGCCGAGGATCGAATCCTCTGCTTCGAACTGGTCTCCAAACGCAACTGCTCGTGGATCCTGCAGTACGTCAAGTCCGCTAACGGCGAGACGGACGTGCCCACGGAGATGTCCGACTTCATCCTACAGCGTCGTCGATGGTTGAACGGCTCCTTCTTCGCCGCGGTGTACGCCCTCGCGCACGCGTTTACCATCTTCCGCAGCGACCACTCGTTCCTGCGAAAGGTCATGTTCCTGTTCGAGTTCCTCTACCAAACCATCAGCATGATCTTCGCCTGGTTCGCCATCGGAAACTTCTTCCTGGTGTTCCGTATTCTGACCGACTCGTTGCGCGACCCGCTGCTGCTGGGGACTGCGGGGAGGATTTTGGCGATCGTGTTTCAGTGGCTGTATGTGGCGGTGCTGGTCACTTGTTTCGTGCTCGCGCTGGGGAACCGGCCGCAGGGCTCGAATAAGTTTTACATGAGCATGGTGTACTTCTGGTGTCTCATCATGGGGTACGTTCCCTTTCTTCGTGATGCGTCGACAAGCTAACGGCTCATAGGTATCTGATGTTCGCATCGATCTACATTACGGTGCGGGGCATTCAAGAGGAGACCAAGGATGGCGATTTCAGCGTCTCGGAACTCTACAAGAACCCGCTCTTCTTTACGCTTATTGTGTCTCTTCTCTCCACCTACGTCATGTACTTCATTGCATCCTTCCTCTTCTTTGACCCATGGCACATGTTCACTTCGGTAAGTCCCCTGAACATTCTCAAAATGACCTGAAGTTGACGTCTCTTCAGTTCATCCAATACCTCCTCCTAACCCCGACGTACATCAACATCCTCAACGTCTACGCCTTCTGCAACACCCACGACATCTCCTGGGGTACCAAAGGCGACGACAAAGCCGAGAAGCTCCCCTCCGCTAACACCAAGCCCGGCGGTAAAGTCGCCGTCGACATCCCCACCGACGACGCCGACCTCAATACCCAATACGAGACTGAATGCCGCGTCTTCGCCTCCAAGTACGAGGTCCCCAAGAAGATCCCCTCCCCCTCTGACAAGCAGGAGGACTACTACAAGGGCTTCCGCAGCGCCGTCGTGCTGCTGTGGATGTTCACCAACCTCGCCCTGTGCGCCGTCGTGCTGGCCACGGGGGGGCTACAGGTCTCCGTCGATCCGGAGAAGCGGGATGAGGACTCGAATAATCGGGCGAAGATCTACATGGCGGTTATCCTGTGGAGCGTGGCGGGACTGAGTATGGTGCGGTTTATCGGCGCGCTTTGGTTTTTGATTGTGCGCATGGTGAGTCTGCCCTCTTCCCACACTTCTTCGATCCCAACTAACCTCCGCTAGTTCCGCGGTGTCTAAACGCCGCTCGATACGTTTGGTTTCGGTGTCCGGTTCTCACGAAACGGATTTTGTCTATCTACCATGTTTCTACCATCTTTGTTCCCGTCCCGTGTTTTGGGTCGAAGATCGCATCGAAACCCATCATGAAAACTGCTGTTATGTATATCAACCGAGCTGGTCTTGCAGCCGTTTGTTTTCTCCATCTCATGTCAAACTATATTGGGGGCACCCGGCTCGTTGTATAAAATTATCGGTTCTTGGTTTCTGTGTGCAGTATGAGAGAATGTCGCTACGGATTTGACTTTGATACATAAAGTCCCTTACTGACCGGTCCCGGTGACTGGGCTCAAACTCGAGTGAATAAACCTAGCCGCATGGAACAGTCGGCCGTCTCTGAGTCGGCGGATATATACTCAATTTGGATCCTTAGTATATTCCGCTCGTGAGTTCGTGACATTAGGCTGGAAATCACTCTTTGCTGTGTTATCACTTATGCTCAGCCAGTGGGCGAGAACAAATATGCCTCAGACAATGAGGCCTGAATTGGCCCAGCCATGTCATCCAATCAGAGCTAGCCATCGCCGTTGGTTGTGGCTGGGGTCCTCGCCCCTGACGCCACCGAAGACGGCAGAGACGGGAGCCTCCACGTCGTCACAGTTATCTTTGCTGCGGTCACTACCAACTGGTGTTCATCGCCTCTATCTGCGGGGTGTTCGGATGGCTGGGATATCATGTCGACGTCGTAGGCATCCCTTTTTGTGCCCAATCGGTCAGTCACTTGGAGCGATGTGGAATAAGCTGATTTGTTGATAGGCTTGTTGAGTTTCGCTTGTATCTTTCGTTGTGCCCCTGTTGACAACTGACATTCACATCGACCACCTCTCTGCTTTTATCCTCCTCGTTTCTTAAATATCTTAAGCAATGCGCTGCTAATTCAGGCGCATGATATACAATACCTTGGCCGGGAGGGGTTCTGTCCCTTGCTTCATTAGAGTCGATGTTTCTCTAGTCTGATCATGATACATCTGAAATCCCCGCGTTTCCCTAACCTTTCACGAGTCCGACACTGAAAATGGTATTCGGGTTACAACGTCGCGGTAGCGTGCCAGCAACCCCCGCCTCCCACCGCTCCGACGAAGACTCGCGGGAAACCCCCCTCCAGGTCCGTCGACTTGTCGCGCTCAACGCTCCGCTACACAAACTACAGATCAGTCAACGGACCATCTACGAGCGGTTCCTTCCAGGAGGGACCTACATCTCCGCCCACGTCGCCCGCCAACAGCCTGGATACTTCAGCAACGATCGCATCGGTGTGCATATCCCGCGCATGCATTTCGTAGCGATCTCCTTCACGTTCCACGCGTCGCATAGCTCCAAGCAGCGGTTCAAAGCCGCTGAGATCTCCGTTGGCGTCACATGTCCGTCGCGGCGTGGCACCAGTAGCGGAATTTCTGGTGTCCCCGGGGAATATCCGCGGATCATCAAGTACGCACCGCATCTCGTCTATGGCGCAATCTCTCCCGAGAACATGAAATGGCAGTTCAACTTAACCGGATCCCTAGGCATCAGCCAGACGCCGTTGAACGCCTCTCTGCGACCCAGCCGCGGCTACACCAGTTCGGCGACCGTGTACCGATCCATGCGAATCCAAGGCTCCAGCCGCACCGCCTACGTTCATCGAAACGGTCCCGCGTCCAGCAAAGCTCGAAAGGAGTCGGACTGGGACGCCGTACCCGACGGCGAGGTCGTCTGGACCGTCGAAGAAAACCCCCTCCAAAAATCTGGCCTCCCCACCGAATTCACCTTCGTGATGCTCATCTCCCGCCCGGAGAGTCTCTCCGACCGCGACGTCCAAGTCCACGTCCGCGTGAACCCCACGATTACGTACAGCGCGGCGCATTACTGGCGCTGGATGCTCGACCGATGGTATCCGCCGGCGAACATCGATCAAACGTCTCCTTTGACGCTGGCGTATCGGACGGGGCAGCCGTTCGATGAAGATCCGACGGATGGGGAAGAGTTCAACTTTTCCCAGATTTTGGAGGACTTTGATGAGCAGGTGGAGTTGCCGGGGACGACGTATACGCTAAAGGTAGGGTCGTTCTTACGTCTCTGGAGTAGTGGCTTACCTATTACAGGATCCGATCAAGACTGTCCTTGATCCTCGGGGACAAACTCATAGGCATCAGGATTGGGGCGCTGAAAGATCGGATGGAAGGATTGGAGACATCGAGTCCCAATCGGCGACCTTGGTTCCGACGCCCAATATCGCAAAGCCTCGAGTTGCTCAACCGGCCCAAGGCCAGAGCACTCAAACCACTGTGCCGACCGTCGCCCGGCAGCTTGACTCCAATGAGACATCGATGAAATCGGTTCAGATTACGGATGTTCCGCAGCAGGAGGTATGAGATTGAAGCGCCTGCGTACATTCCCGCGAGATAAATCCGTTAGAGGTACCGTGCTTCTTATGAACAAGAGGTTGAAGCTGAATAGAATCACTGCATGACACTTCTACAAGCCCCATGCGCCAGTATTTCTTGGTTAATGGTTCTTCCTTAGCCAACGCCCTATCATCGGCAAAGATTTTGGCATGGAGAATTATCAATCACAAGAATCGTTCCCCAAGTCATGTCCCTGGTTCGCCATGCCGACTCCATTAAATCTAGAATAGCAACTGTGAACGGTGAGTCCCAAGCAAGTTATCACCGCCTAGCGTTCCATCCTGTCCTCGTCCTCCTCCTCCTTGGCCTTCCCTAATCCATGCTCCTTGAGCAGAGCATCAATCTCCTCCGCACCCCACAAGTGATGGTAGACCTTGCCCTCTTTCGTCTTGCCCACGGTAGCAAATTCAACTGTTCATGGATTAGTCGGGTATTTTGCGACGGGGTGACAGACGTACTCTTCTCGCTGCTCAAATTGGTCGAGTCCATGGTCTTGCTCAGCACCTTCACCGCCAGTCCGCACGCTTCCTTCAGATTACAGTCCCCATTATAATCCTGCTTCAGCAAGCTCTGCGCGCTTGCATTGTTCGCGCCCACGCTCGTGGCCTTCCATCCGCCGTAGTTACCGCTCGGGTTACTCTGGTACAGCTGGAAGTGGGTCTGCGGGTCGTAGCCGGCGTAGATGAAGGACACGCCGAACGGACGCAGACCGCCGTGTTGCGTGTACCCTTGCTTCAGATCGCACAGCCGACGGACGAGCTGCTCGCAGGGGATGTCTTCGTTGTATGTGAGGAGGTAGCGTTGGGCGGCTTGTCGGGCGTAGTTGATGAGGATGTTGGCGTCAGCCGTCATTCCAGCCACGGCGCAGATCATGTTGCTAGAGGGAAAGGGTTTAGCATGGTCGGTCGGAAGATTGTCAGGACCTCTACGCACTCGTTGAGGATGTAAAGCTTCTCGGCGGAAGTGTCCTGCTCCAACAGCTTGCTCGTGACCTTCCTCTCCGCGGCCAGGACGATTCCATCCTGGGCGAGAATCCCCAGGGCCGTTCCTGCGTGTGAGATGGCTTCCAGGGCGTATTCCACCTGGTACAGGCGACCCTCTGGGGAGAAGATAGTAGTCTACGATTAGCTGTCAGCAAGGCGTCGTGAACCCTTCACGGTAGGCACCTACTCTTGAATCGTATCTTCGCGACATGCTGGCGGGTTACGGTGTTTGACCGAAGGGAAACAAGTGAATAACGGGACAGTGTCGAAACGGCAATATATGCGACCGAATAGGGCTGGAGGTCAACAGGAGCAGGGAAGTAGTGCAGGGAAATGGAGAGTTCAGTGTTAGTGAAGCTCTCGTTGACTTCCGATAGTTATGTCAAGCTGCTGGAGGTCCCAAGGCAGGAGCTCGAACGCGTGCAGCGCCAAGACTAGCCGTTTGTGCCTTACGGCCTTAGGCTGTCAGGCTGAAACAACATGCGCCACATGCGCCACACTTAATCTGCAGAGCCGCAATTGACATCACAGCCACATGGTTTGAGATATCTCAATGGAAGTCGACAAGGTCAACTTGCTGATCACTCTCAACATACCAGTGGTTACTGGTGTCTTCATGCTTGACTACATCGTGTCTGATACCTCTATCTAATATCCGCGACTAGAACACAATGCTCAAGTCCACCCATCACGTAGTTAATCGACCGCCTCCTCCACCTCCGCAATCCATCGCGGCGCTGCAAGAAGGATGGACCGAACACACTGCACCATCAGGCCATAACTACTACTACCATGCTGCGACTAAGAAATCAACATATACCCGCCCGGCCCAGGACCCTCCCCCATCGATACCGCAAAACGAGCCGGCCCACTGGCATCAACAGAGCAGCTTTCCGCCTTCACAATACCCTAGAGCTCCACTCGGCTCACCACAAGCCTATCCACAAGGCGCACAACACACACCACACCATGATTTTCCTCGGCGAAGTCATGATGGACGCCGACAACCCCCAGCCGACCGACCCAAGCATCTACATACGATCCCCAACTGCGACCCATGGGTGCTGGTGATAACGAAGCTGGGGCGAAGATTTGTTCACAATGTCGAGTCGGGAGAGAGTTTCTGGAAGTTCCCGCCGGATATCCTGTTGGCCGTAATCAAGTTCGACCATGCACAGCGGGAAGGGAAGAAGATCGAGGAGGGTCCAAAGACGGCCACGACGGAGGCCGGCGCGGCGCCACGGCCTGAGACTGAACATGACGCGAAAGAGAAAGAAAACCGCGATGCCGAGGAGCAAAGCGAGTACGAAGAAGTTGAGGTTGAGGTGACGGATAGCGAAGACGAGGAGATGGCCACGAAACGACTAAAGCTAGACGGGGAGGAGCAAGCTTTCGAGTTCAACGAAGACGATATGGCATATCAATTAGAGGGCATGGGGGAGGATGACTTTGATGCCCAAGGTGAATTTGACGACATGATCGCCGAAGAGGATGCAGAAGCGGACGAACTCAGCCCAGAAGATGCGGAACTCCTATTTCAGGATCTGTTGGATGATCATCACGTAAATCCCTATACGCCATGGGAGTCGGTCATCGAAAACGATGCGATAATCGATGACTCCCGATATACCGTCCTGCCGAACATGAAATCCCGATTGGACGTGTTCAACCGATGGAGCCGACAACGCATTGAGGCGCTGAAGGAAGCCAAAGCGAAGCAGGAGAAGCGAGATCCGCGCATTGCGTACCTCGCCTTGCTCGACAAGAAGGGGTCTACCAAGCTATATTGGCCGGAGTTTAAGAGGAAGTACCGGGCCGAACCAACGATGAAAGACGGCAAGCTTCTCGACCGCGACCGCGAGAAACTGTATCGAGAGCACGTCAAACGACTACAACAAAGCCAGTCTTCGCTAAAAGCCGATTTGACGAAGCTGCTACAATCTCTCCCTTTATCCTCGTTGAACCGCTCGACGTCTCTCAACGCTCTCCCATCCAGCCTTGCCACCGATATTCGCCTCATCTCCCTCCCCGAGAAAGTCCGCAACCCCATCATCGAAAGCCACATCTCCAACCTTCCAGAAGCACCCGATCAGGCTGATCGCTCCGAATCGGAGCGGTTCCAAGACGACCAGAAGAAGGCAGAACGAGATCGTAGAGAACGCGCACTAACCGAGAGGGAACAATTCGCTCGGGAGCAGGCAACCAGAAACTCAAAGTCGCTTATGCACAGCCGAAGGATACTGGAACAGGAACAGAGGGAGGTGCAAGATGCCATGCGACCGGGGATGAAGGGCCTCAAGAGTCAGTTAGAAGGGTTATAACGGACGACCATAGCCGGTTTTATGTCCGCTCGTGTTGGCGAAGAATGGAAGCCTCGATTCCATGCAATGTGCATAGCACATAGCCTCTTCATCAATATGATAAGAGAGAGGCACCATATTCTGATGCCAGAATCAGTTCTGGTACCCTCGCAATTATGCGGTTGAACAACTCCCCGTTCGTTAATTAAGCTAACAGATGCGACACGTCCTCTAAAGTCGAGGAGCAATATGAAAATCATATCATAGAGACATACGACAGCATTACTGTATCGGTATGCAATCGTACTTCGAACCACGGCACCTCACCGCGGTATCGGCCAAGCGAATACATGGTCATTTTTGCGACCACTTTCAGACGGAACGAAGCAAGTGTACCATTGCATAGAGATAGAGCTCACAGATAACTTCGCTAGATCGGAATCCAGCAACCATTCCGAGGGGTGTCGAAGATGCATTCAGTGAGTGATAGTATTGCATGAAGTCCATGAAGTTGAAATCTGATTTAAACGGACGGGATTTGTTGGTCTCTCAATCGACCACGCACAACTCTATGTTCAGAAGAAGAGTAGTTTATGTATCCTGTTATCTCAACTGGCCTTGGTAGAAGACATGTTCCAATATTTCTAAGTCCATATCCCGGACAACATGGGGAAGAACGCAGTGTTTCAGTGTCGAGGATCTACGACTGGAACGACTGAAATACACATCAGTACGCACACCATGACGATATTTAATGTCCGTGTTTGCTTTTACCTCATTATGCAGTCCAATCCCAGCAATTTTCCACGGCTTTGGATTAGTATATTGAATGCGTTTACCCGGACTGCGGTACTTATTTACTGGCGGAATCGTTGACGCGGATTGATTCTATGGAACGACGACGGTTATCTTTCATCATTGTGGCTAAGCGCATCCAAACTATATATCCGAAATTATACCGCATATTCTTGTCTATCGCATTTTCGGGGTTGATTTTCCAGGCAAAATGACACCTTCGGAGATTAGCCCTTCCCAGTACCGTTTGTCGGAAAGGTTATGACGGTGTAGAGTGCAGCTGCTGAAGGTTTGGATGACCTAAATCCAAGTACTAGGTCGCATTTAGGGGCTATATATACCGCGGGAGGCCACTTCACGTAGGAAACCAAGTTCGTTGGCTGAGTGTCTTGTTCTTCTGGAAGAATAATATCCTTATCTTTTTCAACACTCGGCCGGGACCCAGAAAAAATTGTCAGCGGAAGAAGGTCGAAGAGCAATGTTTCCAGTCAACGTCATTTGGAGTCCTCCAGATATCAACCCAATCAACAGCAGAGCAAGGGGCATCCCGGTCTTCAACCCCATCGACAGGTATGGACGGTATGGTGGTTTTTGTGGATGGGGTTCTTGATTGCATTCTGGTCCTGGTACGCGCCCTTGCCTTAATCTCGCTATAACATTCGAACGTCTGACAGCTTCAGGTATGCCTTTCCACCCCTCCTGACTCGGACGATCCGACAAGACCTCAATCTCTCGCAGGCAGAAGTCGCCAACTCTAACATCGTCGCATTGACAGCGACCATGATCGTCCGTGTGTTTCGGGGCCGCTTTGTGATAGGTTTGGGCCGCGTAACGTGTTCGCGGGATTAATCTTCTGCGGAGCTATTCCGACGGCACTCACCAGTACAGTCAAATATACAGCTGGACTCATGACACTCCGGTTCTTTGTGGGTATCCTCGGTGGAACTTTTGTGCCTTATCAGGTCTAGAGCACTAGGTTCTTTAATCTGAATGTCGTTGGGACTGCCAATACGCTGACGGGTGGTCTGGGTAACTCTGGCGGAGGAATCACCTAGTATGTGGACGCGTGTGCGATAAATCTGATAGTGATGTAGCTAACGTGCTGGCTAGCTTCGCCATGCCGGCGATTTTCGATTCTCTCGTTCATCACCGTGGCCTTACTCCGCATATCGCCTGGCGTGTGGCCTTCATCGTTCCATTTATCTTTATCACCACCATTGCCGTTGGCATGCTCCTTCTCTGTGATGACACTCCGACTGGGAAGTGGTCAGATCGGATGAAGAAGCTCGATGAAAATCATAATAAGTCTCGCCAAGATGGCCTCATCGTGAGTAGCAGAGGCGGTCGACTCCACCCTACTTCAGAGGTCCCTGAAAAGAATACTCTTGTGACAGCCGAAGAAGGAAAAGGATGTTTCTGAATTGGAAATGGCCGTCGAAGGCGAAACAGAGGTGATCAGCGAGTACCATCACGAAGCGATCCGGAGCCCGACTCTAAAAGAGACCCTGGAAGTTTTCCTCTCCCCCCAAACCCAAGTCCTAGACTAGTGCTATTTCTGCACCTTCGGTAGCGAGTTGGCCATCAACAGCTATCTAGGCTCGTACTACTTGACGAACGTCTCACCGCTTGGACAGCCGGGGAGTGGCCGGTGGGCGGCGATGTTTGGACTCCTGAACGTTGCCTTCCGCCCGGCAGGAGGCGTAGTAGCCGATTTGCTATATAAATACACAGACGGAAATCTCTGGGCGAAGAAGATGTGGGTTCATTTGTGGGAATAATGACGGGCGTGTTCTGCATCATCGTCGGCCTGGTCGACTCCCACCACCTGCCGACGTTCGTGGGCCTCATTGCCGGATTGGCATTTTTCATAGATGCAGGAAATGGCGCGATTTTCGGACTGGTGCCACACGTTCATCCCTACGCAGACGGTAAGCTCGGTTACCATCTCCTTGCTGATAGCCGCTAGCTGAGTTGGAATAGGGGTTGTGTCGGGTTCACGGGCGCTTGGGGGAATCTCGGGGGCATCGTCTTCGCCGTCATCTTCCGCTACCATGGCACGGACTACGCGAAGACACATTGGATCATTGACATCGTGATCATCGGGATAAATCTGGCCGGGTGCTGGATCTGTCCTGTGTCGATAGACCAAATTGGGGCAAGATAATTAGGGACTTCGTAAGGGTGGCGGACTGGCTTGGTGTCTTGTTAGAAAGTTTCTCCTAATGAACAAACGGTAGGACTGTGATACGATGGAAAATAGATATTGCGCAAATGGGCAGTATCGTAATTGAATCGCTGATATAGACCACCATTTCCCGCCTCGTTTTGACCTATTCGGGATTCCGGTGAGAATCGATCTCTCCATAGCATCTAGTCTCATCACCCCTATCCCATCCTAAGGTTTCATCATGGCCTCGTGATAGGTCGGTGACGCTGAAAGGGACTGAACTTTCACTCTTGGAACCGTGGAGCGTCGGTATGGGCCATTACGATAGTTGGCTAGACCACCCTGACGCGGACTGGGAGGTATGTTAGGAGACCAATAGGTCTCATAGCGCGGCTCCATGCTTCTTGCCCTTCGAGATCGTGTTGGTAGGGGATTATGATGGCAAGGGACAAGACCTTCCCAGGCGCATCTCTATCATGAATTCGTCCACTCGTGAGTCGCTGTTCTCGTTCCCGCTCGAGAGTCGCTGCCCTCGTTCCCGCTCGATACAAACCCGCCCCTCATGGCAAACTCGGGTATCACCTTCCTCATCCCATTCAAGTCGCACCGCCAACCGCCGGTGTCTCAACGTGAACCCGTTCGCGCTCCCTCCCCGCACCCCTCCCCTCCCTCTCTTTCCCCCGCTCCACATTCCTCTTCCTCCTCCGCACCGGCTGATACACATCATTGAAATTCATCACCATCGCCAACCACCGCATGTCCGCGTCCGGCTGGTGCAGGAGATCGCCCAGCAAGACGTTCACGCGCACGCGGAAGTCGCCCGCCAGGCTCGAGAGTCGGGATCGGAGGGCCGGGAGGAGGTCGTCCTCGCTCGTGCTGCCGAGACCGTTCAGGCCGAGGAGGGTGGGGATGGGGGAGTCGGTGGAGCGCTCGGCTCGGTGGGCGCGGCGTTTGGAACCGGCGGACGTGTCGTCCTGGGTGTCTTTTTCGGATAGGCCCCATTTACCGGATGCGGTGCGGGTTTCGATCCGGCTGTTTCGTTCTTGTCGTCGTGTGAACTCGGCAACGCTGAACGAGTATAATCCATCCATTGCATCTTTATATGCGAGCATGATTTTAAAGAGTTCGTGCAGTTGTGCCGTGAAGTCGGTGGATGCGCCAGAGCTTCCAAGCAGACCTTTCCGAGTAATGGCGGTGAGATATTTCGCATGTGCCTCGATCAAGTCGTCAAGGGTGCTTTCTGGCTTGCTCAGGGCGGATTGTAGCTCGTTCCAGCTCGATTCGATCACCTCGAACAGGATATAGTACTGGAGCTGGTTCACGAAATGAATCATTTCCGCAACCGTGCATCGGACCCGTTTCCAATCCCCTCCGAGCTTGTCGGACACAGCCCCAAGCACCCCTCGAGCACCGGTCATGCATCGATGCCAAGTGGACCCTAAGGCAAATTCGACTCGTTTGACCCTCCAGAGGAAATTGAAGACTTTAAGGTATTGTTTCGCGCCAAACGGGGTAACAATCACATCCACAGGGGAGTCGATCTTATACTCGAGAGTGAAGACGTCCCAGCCGATCTCCCCATGGCTTAGCTCCAACATGCGCGAATCCAGGCGGCGCAACACATCGGCAGGCTCGTACTGCGCATTGCTACTTCGAACGGCGTGTTCAAGTTGAGCGGTGAGGGTATGTCGATATTGGGAGTTTGCAGGCCGATCGAGGTTTGGTGCCAGGCTTTCCATTAATATTGCGATGAAATCTCCTGCCCCAAGGAGAATGTACTTTTTCAATGCTTGGAGGTGCGTGAGAAGATGGAACTTGGTGATCATTAAATGAGTCAGTCTGGCCATAGTTGTCTTGTACGCCTCGCCAATGGAGGCCTCCAGATTTGCAGTATCGCCGTAGCCGAGGTCGCGGGAGGATGTCTTAGAATATGTCTCGACCCAGGAAGAATCGAGACAGCCATAACGGATGAAATTGAGAGACTTTCCAATGAGGAAAACCTTGTTCGCGAAGTCATTGCTCACAATGCTTGGGACCATCCGCTCGTTGACAATGTATTTTTCTTCCCAGACAGAGGTAGCACCAGGTTTTCGGTCTGCAGTGGAGTCGTTGAATTCGACGCCGCTTTGCTCGGAGACGAAGAACTCCAGGTATGGATCATTGAGCTCGCCGTCGTATATCCACAGCTTTAGCATGTTGTAGAACGGTTTGGTGATATGGCCAAGCATACGCTCAGCAAAGCTACTGACGAATGGATCGCCGTGTGAGAGTGAGTATGAGTGGACAAGAGAAATAAGCTCCCCGCCCTTTTTACCTAGAAATTGTCAGATCAAGGTACCTCTACCAGATTTATGTCGCGTTACCTCGAGATTTCTCCACCATGACGCTCATTAAACGAAGACCCATCGTCGCTTCTCGAGTCCAAACAACGCATCTTTTAAGAGACACACCGGCTTTGCCAATTGCATCCTGAGAGACAGAGCCTTCCAAAGTCTTCAAAGCCCTTTTGATCTGCCCTTCTAGGGCCGCTACGAGGCTAAGATACGAGCGTAGCTCAATGCTAAGCGCGGAACGGAAGCTCTGGCCCACCAAACCCCCTTCAGCGGATTCAATGAAGGCAGATAGGGTCCGATACAGCAATGAAGGCTCGGCAAGCGTATGCAGAAGGGCGATGATTGGAACTGGAAGAGTCCGGGGAAGCTTAAGGACGGAATTGGGTGCGGTTGCGAACTGCAGATTTGTTGACGAGAGTCCTTGGAGTGTGAATGGTAGGTCTCGCAGAAGTACGCATTCAGAAGGCTCAATCGGATCTCGATCTAAACGTGTGACTGCGCGTCCATCTTGAGGATCTGATTGCTCGTCCGAAGGCTGTCGTTCAGGAGGCTGTCGTTCGGGGGCTTGACGTTCAGGAAGCTGCCGTTCAGGGGGTCGTTCAAGGGGCTGCCGTTCAAGAGGCTGTCGTCCAGGATGCTGTCGTTCAGAACGTTGCCGTCCAGGAGGCGTGTTCGGTGATTCTGGGCTGCTTGACTGTACGGGGGAGGGGGAACGTTCTGACTCGTGGAGGGTGTTCGCGGGTCGCAGGTGGGCAGGAGGTTGGGGATCGTTCCCGAGTTTGAAGAGGAAGTACAGCATTGCCCATTTTTGGTTCAAGACTCGCTGGGTCAGAAGTCTTGAGTAAAGGTTCGCGAAGCGGAGGGCTTTCTCGGGAGTGTTGTTTTCGCGGATCACTGTCCAACTATGTCAGATTCGGCGCGCGATGCAATCGATATCTCGGGGCAGTTACACTTCTTCTTTATGAGGTCGGCCGCATGGTTCACATCCGGTGGAAGCGAACCATCGGAACTCCTGGACTAGACTTTAGCAGATGAATTGCAGTACAGGCGTCCGAGAAATACCGTGCTATGGTCTCACCAGCCCATTCTAAGGCTTCTTCGAGCCGTTCATCCGCCACGGCTTCATCCTCATCCGGATAAACGGGTATAATCCTCGTGAGCAGTTGGGACAGAGCGTGTCGGACACGCTCCTCGGAAGGTTGGGACATGGCGCAATTGATATCGGTATCGTTACCACCGAGTGGGGGTGAAGTTTCGACTTGGGTGTGATCGTGCTAAGGGTTGGTTGCGCATACCGCCGAAGCCGAACCCCACTCCAAAAGAGATGTCTAGATCAAGACAGAGCGCAATCGGAGGAGCATATATTCCTGCGTACTATATAGGTCCATGTATGGGCGTAGTGGATACACAAGGACCAGTTGGAGGAACCATGAGGGGACAATGCAGGTACGGACGCGATCCAGTCAAGGGTTCAGATGTTGATTTTAGTCTTTAGGACTTGAATGTCGAGGTGGTATGTCAACATAAAGCGCCACGAAACTGAATACTGAAATCAACCACAGCTCAACAAACATACACGGAAGAGTCCAATATTATTGAGCCATATTATTATCTCTCCTCTAATAGAACCCTCCGCGTCCACGCGTTGGAAAGTGTGGGGATGCTGGACCCTTGCCCCATGGTGCCTTGGTGCCTTAATTTTCATCACCTTCGGGGGGAAGAAATTGAGTTACCTTTCTTGGCATTCCCCTAAGCACAGTTCCCATGATCTTAACAGAACGCGGCGGAGAATTCACCAAAACAGACCTCTAGTAGTTGCTTAGTTAACTTAGGGTAGGGCTGGACACGAATAAGGATTTTGGCTATTCGTATTCGACTTTTCCCTGGGAACGATTATTCGTATTCGACTAAATTTCGAGACGTTTTATTCGTATTATTCGCGAATATTCGTAAATAATGCCAAGACTTATTCGGCAAAAGCCGAGCCAATGAATGAATGCCCAGCAGTCGCGACTTTTGTTTACCCAACATGCTCCAACTAGAGGATTTGAGCTCTAAGAGATACAAAGCATATCAATATGTTGCAACTTCTTTCTTAATATGGATGACTTATCCATGTCTCTTGGGAAGCGCCGTCTTCGCTCCGAGAGAGTTGATTATCATCTTCTTAATGATGGCAGTGACGAGGAAGCCTCCCTAGAGAATAGCACCAGCAAAAGGCGTTGTTCAAGTGGAGCCCGCAATAGTCTCGAATTGATCTCTCCTGACGATTCAGCAAGCCAAGTAACCCCAGCTCAAGGCTCTCTATCGACCGTCTCTCCAGAGCAGGAGTTAAATGGAGACGAATTGCCGCCGTCCTCTACCGTCTCATATGAATCCGGACATCGGCGAATACGAGCACAGAATCAATCTCTATGGGAGCAATTCAAGGTTACCGTACTTCGAGACAAGCTATGGTGGCCAAAGAGGGGGACTGGGCCAGTACAAGATCGAGAGATTCGATGTATTCGGTGCGAGTGGAAGACAACGGATTCCGCGAGAGCTACCTCGACGTCGAACATGACCCTCCACCTCTCTAAGCATAGGAAG